TATAGCCAGAGCCTGTCTTTCCCCTGTACATGTCTCTTTAGATAAGGATGTCAATTGCATAAGGTTAAGATCTGCCCTAACGGCTTCCTTTGAACTTGATTGCCCTCTCTAAAGGCTCTGTCTCCAAACAAGGGTGCATTCTAAGGTGCTTGAGGATTAGAATCCTCACTATGAATTTGGGGGAGATAAATGTTCAACAGTGCATTTCTCTGAAGCAGGTTTAACTATGGCTCCATAGCATCGGGCAGCATGCTAGGAGTGGAATACTGGAGCTCCTAGGCAAAATGAGGTTTAAGTTGTACATTAGACACCTCTCCTCTCTGACTCTCATATTTCTTGTCTTGAGTACAAGATGTGGACTGGGTTCCCACTCCCTCTGCCCCTGAGTTCTAGGATGGGTTCTAGGCAGCGTGGGGCTATGTAGGAGGGAAGGTAACACTTCGGCACCATCATCTTCAAGCAGGATGACACTGAACTGGCCAGTTTCATTATGGTTTTGACAAGTTTCTTTGTGTAGCTCTGGCTGGCTTAGAACTCTATCTAGAACTGACTGGCTTCAAACGGGTGGCCTGTGCCTCCAGACTTCTGGGAGTATAACTGTGTGAGACCACACCCAGCTCACACACTGCACTGTCTTCTGAGCTTTGTGTTTTTAACTGTAGGAAGGAGATAGCAATATTAGCTACCATTTAAAAAAAAGAAAGAAAGAGAATGTGGGTATTAAGGATGAGCCACTTAGCACATAGTTGCCGGCTCCTACACACAAACCACTAATGGCATTAATACCATGTTCAGGAGACAAGTTTTATACTGAGTCTCAGGTCTCAGTGGTGGCCACTGTCAGCCAGCAGGACACCCTGTCCCCTAGCCCCCAGCTCCCATCAGGGCCCTCTGCTGCAGTTCAGAGTGAGACGATTGACCTAGCAAGACTTTGGCGATCCTTGTGACATGCCTTCCCCCTCCCCTTTCCCACTTCCTGTCCTGTTCTACTTCACTCTTTATTAAAGTCCTTGGAGTTAGGGCTAGAGCATCAGCTGACTTTTTTTTCTCACTGTATTTTATAATTTTACATAAAATGTATAGCTCTAGATAGAAAAATCTAATAATAAAATGGATAAGACTATCTCGCTTGGCAGAGCTTTATAATGAAGCTATGTAGATTCAGTGTCCCCCATGGATACAGACTGATGTCTACAGTTACCATTTGGCAATGTTATTTTCTCATGTGTGGCATCATCTGGATCATAATCAACCTGAGGAAGCAGATTTTCTTATTCACATCGAATCTCATAATGCACCAGCCCCTCTTTCATAAAGTAACCCATGTAATCCTCCCTACACCTTGATGAGGCAGAAGACAGTGTCTCCCAGGACAAAGGCCCTCAGAGGCTCAGAGATCCCATGGGCAGCAACGCCCTGGCTAGGATTCAATGTACACCATTGACTCCAAGGCCACCCACCACATTTGATACTTGACACTCTCCTTACCACTCTCTACCAACTCAGGAGGCTTATACATTCTCTTCCCACCCCTCACCTCCCTACACACACACACACACACACACACACACACACACACACACACACACACACTCACTCACGCTTAGGCTCTTCATTGTGCAGTTTTTCTGTGGTCTTGGTGCCCCCTAGTGGCTCATTACAGCTCACTGCACCGAGGGCCTGTGACTAAGCGCTTCAGTGGTCCAAAGGCCAATGTGGGTGGCCCTGGGAGAGCACATCTCTCTGCTCCCAGAGGACAGCCAGATCCACCATTAAAGATCTTTTTGTGTAATTCAGGCTGTCTTGAAACTTACTAGGCAGTCTCGGTAGGCCTCAAATTCACTGAAACCCCGAGTGCTTTACAGCGGAGTGCCACCACGGCCCACCAACACTGTACCTCAGTCAGTCCCTCAGGGAGACTCCGCAGGGGTCAAGGCAGAGGAAACGGCACCAAGATGTTATGTCACATCTGGGGTTCCACTCCAGTACCTCCTTCCCATTCTCAGTTGGGATATGTGGGCTTCAGTGGCATTCTCTGCTGTACCCACCAGGAACTTTCATTTCTCAGAGCTTGTTTTGGGGGGAGGGAAGACATCAAAGAAACTGAAGTTAAGGACTTAATGTTTATATATATATATATATATATATATATATATATATATATATATATATATATATATATATATATATATATATATAGTTCTCTTCCCCAAAGGATGCCATCTAGAATCTCCTCTAACAAGGAGATCATGGGGATGGAGGGAATACGTTTGAAGGAACAACTACAGGGAGGGTGATAGCCACATATGACATAAGAGTAGACTCGGGCATATTGAGGGTGGAATGGTACAAAAAGTCAGAGCAGGGAGATGGGGAGAGAGTGTTGTAACAATGCCACAAGGAAACCTGTTGCTGTGTGCAAACATAGACATTAAAAATAAAAAGTCACGCCAGGTGGCTGTGGTGGCGCACGCCTTTAATCCCAGCACTCTGGAGGCAGAGGCAGATGGATCTCTGTGAGTTCGAGACCAGTCTGGTCTACAAAATGAATTCTAGCACAGCCAGGGCTGCTACACAGAGAAACCCTGGAGGGGTCGGGGAGGGGGGGTCTCCCCAGGAGGCGATTAGCCAGCTTCTGTCTCTCTGTGAGCCGTGTGTGCAAAGATGGAGAAGGCATTCTTTCCACTTCTGCGAAGTAAACACATGAAAAACTCCAACCCAGTGAGGCCAGGGCTCTGATATGGGTATTTGGGAATTTTCCCATCATTCTAGAAATGGCTTTCAGCATTCAAAACTGAGAAAAGTCATCAAGCACCCTGAATGCTACAGAAAGTAGACAGCAATCCACAGACACCCTCTACAAGCACCACCCCAGTTCCCAGCCCCTCGCCTCACCCCACAGCTTTTCTTTTCCTCCACCCACCTGCGCAGGGCAAAAGGGAAGCAAAACAGAGGGGACTAGAGCCTGTCCTTGTCACCTCCCACATACCAAAGACCCTCCTCTTCCTGTTTTCTTCTTTCCCCCTGAAAGGCCTACCTAAAACCTTAAGAAGTGGCTTAATCTGTAGCCTTTCTGAAAATCCGTTAATCATTTATCTGTCTTTGAGATCATCTGAGATACCCTGGAGATATATTCACCAATACTGGAGCCAGTGTTCACTCAAGGCTACTGACTACTTGAAATGTGGTCAGTCTGAACTGCAGTGTGGCAAAGTGCAAAATACACTTCATATCTTAAAGATTTAAGACAGGAAAAAAGTTATATCTTTTTTTAAAAATCAATTAGATGTTGAAATTACTTTTTTAGATACACAAAACTGTGTCAAAATTAATTTCTTCTGTTTTCTTTATGTGGATTCCAGGCTATTTAAAACTACTCACATTATATGTGTTTGGATAGTGATGTGGAGGTTTAGAAGGCCAGAACTGGGCCCAGGGTAGAGCTCAGCGGTAGAATAATTACCCTAACATCATCAAGGTCTTGGGTAGGCTTCTCAGCACCACAAAACAAAACAGAAAGGCCAAGCTGAGGAGTCTCAACCCAGTAACATCTTTAACCCCTTGGGACCGCAGGGAGGCAGAACTGATACTGTTTCCACAAGCATAGAGTTGGCAAGGAGCAGGTTATCTCAGATGACCAGGGCAAACTTTGCTTAGAATCGTATCACTTACCTTTTTGGTTTTGTTGTTGTTGTTTGGTTGGTTGGCTTTTTGAGACAGGGTTTCTCTGTGTAACAGCCCTGGCTGTCCTGGAACTCACTCTGTAGCCCAGGCTGGCCTCAAACTCAAAGAGATCTACCTGCCTCTGCCTCCTGAGTGCTGGGATTAAAGTTGTGCGTCACCACCTCCCGGTAATACTTACGTTTTCAAACACAAAGTCTTAATGTAAATCTCAGGTGAGCCTGGAACATATACCCTTCCTGCCTCAGCCTCGCAAGCGCTGGGCTTTCTGGCATACCCTATGGTATGCAACTCTAACACTATCTTTTAAGGGTATCTTTAAACTGCTGTTCTAAAATTTGGATACCCCACATTGTATTACCCCGTAACTCAGGTAATTTCTCCAAAGTATGCACCCCCAAAGCCCAAATTACAACATACAAATTGGAATCCTAAGAAAGTTAAAATTCTAGAACCAGGAGCTGGGGAGAAGGCTCCATCAGCATTCTTACCTTGCAAACATGAAGACCTGGATTTAGTTTCCAGAGCTCATGGATAACCTCCTGGGCATGGTGGCACACACTTGTAATGAGCCAGGTAGACACCAGAAGATCCCTGGGGCTACCTGGCCAGCTAGGCTAGCCTAATCAAAGTCCCAGACTAGTGATAGACACTGTCTCAAAACACAAGGTTAATGGCACCTGAGGAACAAGACTTGAGGCTGACCTCTGACCTCTGCCTGCACAGGCACACACTACATAGCTGTAAACACATTGATCCCAAACATACACATGCATCAGGACACACAGGAGCATACATACAAACACATAATTCTGGAAGCATATCCAAACATGGTGGTTCACACCTGCATAACAGCATTATAGCATCAGGAAGGCAGAGGCAGAAGAATCACATGTTAGAGGTAAGCCTGACCTGCAGTGTTTTGTTTTGTTTTTCTTCTTCTTTAAATAGAATAAGTTGGGCTTCTATTATGGGTACCAGATTAGAAAAACGACTGAGTAAATGCCCGAGGTCAGATTTCTGGAGGACACTTAGTGCAAGGCATACTGCACAGAAGGAGGTAGAGATGAACAGAGAGTGGGGAGCCATGGATACACTCTCATATTCATCAAAGCTTCTGAGTGTAAATCTGCATTATTTTTCTGGGGAATAATATGCATACATATTCTTTAAAATGACCATACCTTTTGACCCAATAATTCTATTTCCAGTAACTAACCGTAAGGAAAACATGTAAAGGCACAATATCTGGATATAAGAATACTCAACCATCACTGCAATGGCGCTGCCGGGGTGGAATGGGGGTGGGGGACACAACGATGACCCCAGAGCAACTGAACTGGTCACAAATGAAGAGTAAATTCACTTTAGGTGTAGCTATAATAACAACTATTGCAAACAAAGTAAATGAATACTGTCATGAAAAGGTATTTATAATAAATTCTGTGAAGAAGCCCTGCTACAGAATTCAGAATTGTATATACAGTATGTATGCTGATTTTGCTTTTAAAAAATATTAGAAATAATACATTTGCAAAGACAGTCATATGGAAAAGATATTCTCCAAAATATCCTTACGGAACTGCCATCTTTGGACAGTAGAGTTTTTAAACCAGGCATGTTGGCGTAATCCCAGTATTTGAGAGCTGAAGGCACAGGGATCAATAGTTCAAGGCCAGCCTCAGATACATTGCAAATTTGAAGGCAATGGGGCTATATGAGATGCTGTCTCCAAAACAACAAAAAGGAAATATAAATTTTAAAAATTAAAGTTACTTTAAAGTAATAATACTTGTTTCTTCATTATCACCTAAAACTGAAATCTACTTTCTCCTTAAACTTTCTAAGCCCTAGTTAGTAGAAGTATCAACGCAAACTAAGTGTAGTGGAGCACGGCAGTAAATTCGAGGACTCAGAATTCCAGGCCAGCCCAGGTGAGCAAAAAAGCTACCAACGTCTTAACATGTTAAGATTCTGACACTTCCCCAGCATCCACTTTGGGTTTCAACCTGTGCCATCTCTTCCTTTAGAGCCGCGTGTGCACCCCTTCCCAAGGGTCCTGTGTCTTCTTGGTGATTGCCTTACTGCCCAGGTGAGACCCTGTCAAACCTGCGGGGTTACTTTTAAAAAGTCCAACTTTGGCTAGGGCTGGGAGTCCTTCGAACTGAAATCCAAAGGTTAAAAATCACTAAGACCCAGTGCTAGGACAGGAACAGAGGCCCTGAGCCCCGACTGAAGACCTCCCTGAGGGTGGAGAATAATCTGAAAGCCCGGGACCGCGAGCCGAACGCCAGCCACCGCGTGGGTCACGTCGCAGCAGCTTTGTCTTTCGGTAAAGAGCGCGGACGCAGCACCGCGCTGAATTTGGTCCCTCTGGAGACGCCGTCCGGGCGCCCGCCTCGTTCAAATCACGTGACCGAATCTTTCGGTGAAGCAGGAAGCGTTTTGCTGCGGGGTCTAGGATTGGGGCCGATAGCGGGCGGGATGGAAGCGACTTTGGAGCAACATTTGGAGGACACGTGAGTAGTGCGTGCGGCTGGTCCTGCGCTCCGGACCGGGGAGCTGGAGCGGGACCCGCGGCACGGACTGCGAGTGTCCGCGGAAACGTTTGGGGCGCTCGGGGCGGCCAGCGGGTGACTTCTGCAGACGTCCGGGCCGCGGGTGACTCCAAATAAAGTTTCGCAGGCTCTGTACGCTTCCTTATGGAGCAAGAGTCTTGCCGGCCCAAGCGAGAGAGGCCCGAATCACCTGTCGCCTCGAAACGTTCGTAGGGTCCGAGTAGCTCTTCAGAAGTTTGGGGAAGGATGTACCAGATGTGCTAAATTGAGCCCTGTAATGCAAATGCACACGCATATCTTCCCGCGTGGGTAACCCATCAATTACTCAGCGCTTATGAAGTAAAGACATCCGTTAAGTTTTTCGGCTATCTCTGTAACATTTAAAATTGGGAAGTGTAAAGTGGCTTACAAGAAGACACCTCCCCCTTTAGCTTCATAATCCCCTCCAGGAGCAATTCCTGTTACTTAAAATTTTTAACAGTTGTTTGAAATGAGTTGCTATCCTAGAGCATGCTTCTACACCAAGGACAAAACCCTATAGATAACTGCAGTGTTTGTGGCACTCTGAAGCCCAGAGGTACCTGGCACAGTTCGTTGTGAGAAAATGGTTTCTTAACAATTCAGTTTTCCTTTTGGAAGGGGGCGATAGTTTTAAAAGAAAAAGTCTGATTTGAGGCGCTTAATACTTAATGCATAGAAAGCTTATTTGTACTACAATAATTTAAGTATTTCTTCACATCATCTGGCTCGTCTTTCTTGTGCTCCTAAAATTAGAATGAAGAATCCATCCATTGTTGGAGTCCTGTGCACAGATTCACAAGGACTTAATCTGGGCTGTAAGTGTCTCATACCAGCCTCCCTTTGAGGTTCACTGGGAGTTTTACTTTGCTACTATTTTCTAGCTTTATTCCTGTTACCTTTTGAGCATAGAGAATATCTCCAAGTAAGACTAGATAATTGAAGCCTTTTGGTTGTTTTTAAAAGGCAGAAATGTTCCTCCCAGTTCTACAACTGTCCCTACTAAAGTGGTTTAGATAAGAGTAATCGTTACTTAATGCATTCCATATGCAGGGACTGTCTGTCGGACCATATTATTTCCTTAATTGCTTCAACTGAAAAATGGATGAGGCTAGCTGTTAATACAGCCACTCTTAACTTAGTGTCAGTAAAGTAGGGACTTCACAGTTAGACATCTGACTTTAACCCCATTCTCCTATTCTGTCTGCTAGCAACATGAGCCCAGAACAGAAAGTCTCCCCCCTCCTGGGGGGGGCGCTTCAATTTCTTTATTGGGTTATTTGATGATGCAACAAATGAAGAATTCCATGTGTTGGGCTCTTAAGTATCAGACACCATTCTTTTTTCTTACTCTACTTGGCCCTGGCTGTCCCGGAACTCACTATATAGACCAGACTGGCCTATAACTCACAACGATCCTTCTGCCTCTGCCCCCTGAGGTGCTAGGAATAAAAGTGTGCACCACCACACCTGGCTAGACACAGTTCTTAGTATTTTACATTGTACAAACATGAATATTCCTCAGTAAAGCCCTTTGTGATAGAGAAATTAAAATATAGAGCTTAATTAAGTACTTTGCCCAAGGTTTTACAACTAATGCATGGTTGAGATAGGATTTCTTAGCTGCCTCCAAAGCTTAAAACACTCAGTATAGAACCAAGATGTGATGTTCAATAATCTGTAGCAATTACAGATAAGAAACTAAGTCCAGAAAGGTAAATAGTACCAGGCGGGGGTGGCGCATGCCTTTAATCTCAGCACTTGAGAGGCAGGTGGAGCTCTGTGAGTTTGAGGCCAGCCTGGTCTACAAAGCGAATCCTAGGACGTCTTGAAAAGCAAAAAAAAAAAAAAAAAAAAAAATGAAGAGCTGTAGATGAATTTCTAAATGGTCTTATTAAATAAAAAACATGAAGCCAGATATATGGGTGAAAGCCTGGAAGAGATCAGGGAAATAGGGAAAGCCACCAGCCAACCTTACCTCACCAACTCTGCATCTTCCAAATGCGTTGACTTCCTGTTTACCCACACCTATATGCCTTGCTGTTCTGCCATCTGGTTTGCTCTCTCCACCCAGCTACAACATTTCCTCTTTCTGCCCAGCTCTGTCACTTCCTGTCTGTCTGTACAGTCCTCAAGACCTCCATGGATAACTAGTTTTGGAATTTAAGGCGTGTGCCACCACACCTGGCTCTGTTTCCAGTGTGGCCTTGAACACACAGAGATCCTGCCTGCCAAGTGACAGGATTAAGGGCGTGTGCTACTGCTGCCTGACTTCTTTACTTATAATGGCCTTTTTCCTCTGATCTCCAGGCAAGCTATATCCATTAAAGCACAAATAAAATATCACCACAAATAGCTAAAGACTGAAGTTAATTAATATCAGAAACTAGTAAACCTAGGAATTATTATAACTAATGCAGGCCTTTTTAGAGCTCTGGACTTTTGCTGGTACAGTAACAAACAGAGGTAATAAGGTTATGTCATCTACAAAAACCAGTCATTTGGAACAAAGGTAAATTTTTTGAAGCATTTGCCAGGTCACTAATGGAAAATTTTTAAATTCACGTGTGGAAAATCTAAAACTGAGCAAGTAAAACCTTCAAAGTATGAGGTTACTATTTGCTGTAGACCTTCAGGCTTCACTTTGACCTGTGGATTTTTTATGTAATAATAGTGAATCCAGATTTTCTGCCAGGATGGTATACTGTCTACTACCTTAGTTTCAGATGTAAGCAAGTTCCTGTTGCTTTTATTTCAGGGATCTGTTGTAAGCTTGGTGGTTACATTTAGTATCTAGGACATGATTTAGTTAATAACACAAGCCAAAGCAATAGTAAAGAATCCTTGAGACATTTGAAAATAGCCCAGCTAGCTTATGCTGGCAGAAATAATGCTTACAGATCTTCACATATGCTGGCAAGGTGATCTTACAGCAGAACTTTCTGAGTAACAACTTGTTCTTTGAGGTTGAGCTGAGAAAATCAGATTTCCCATAAGGAATTAGTTTCAACAAGTCCCTTATCCACATTGAGACACTCTCACCTTTAAATTTCTTGGTTTCAGCATAATTCCTATAAAATAAATTTATGATTTGATTTGAATTCCAGCTTCCTTATATGCTTGAGGTGTTTAGAGATAGTATGGTGATAGGAATAAATGAAAACTGCATGCCATTTACATCTTTACTGATTTAAGAACAATTGCCAGACTTCCTCACTGATGTGATCAGCTGAATACCAGGTGGGGAAAATCATTTCATGGCTGTACCTAACCTAAAAGGCCATGAGCTAAGTTTCTTTTTCCTGAATAATTCAGTAGGAAATACTACACTATAGATTTATATTCATTTTTAGACACTTAGGTAACAATTTCATCTCTGTTTTCTAGGTCGTGGTACCCTGTCAGATGAGCATGCTGGAGTGATATCTGTTCTAGCCCAGCAAGCAGCTAAGCTAACCTCTGACCCCACTGATATTCCTGTGGTCTGTTTAGAATCAGATAATGGGTGAGTATATATCACAGCACATCCCTTTCTTTTTGTTTAGAAAAACTTGACTGGGCTTTCCCCATGTCCATCAGTAGTTCCTTAATCAGTGTATCGCAGGGCCAGTGGGCATTCAGGCCCCATGACAGGCCTTCATTAAAATGAGCGATAAGAATTGTCAAGAACTGCCAATTTGCCAAAAACAAATTGGGAAACGGTAAAAACACAAAAAATTATTAGTTGAATAGAATTCTCTAAAATAATATAAATGTTAAAGATATTCCAAGATAAAGGTCTTTATAAAAATGTTAAATGAAGAAAGTTAAGAATCTAAAACGATATGGGCTAGAGAGATGTCAGTGTTTAAGATGAGTGCTTGATCCACAGTCCTGAGTTTAAATTCTAGCACCTCAGCACCATGTAGCAAGCTGGGCATCCCCACAAATACCTTAACCTCAGCTCCAGTTGAGAGATGGAGGGGCAGAGACAGGAAAATTGCTGGGGCTTACTGACTTCCAGGCTAGCAGAGAAAAGGAGTCCCAGGTTTAGGGACAAGACCCTGCATCAAAGGACTAGGTACATGGCGATAGAGGACAACCAACACCTTTTGACCTCCATGCATGTATATAGGTATGTGCACACTCACACAGACACAGATAAAATTAACCTTAAAAAATGCATACTATGGCTGGAGAGATGGCTCAGTGGTTAGGAGTACTGGCTGCTCTTCTAGAGGACCTGGATGGATTCAATTCCCGGCACCCACATGGCAGCTCACAACTGGCTAAAATTCCAGTTCCAGGGAATCCAACACCCTTACACAGATGCACCAATGCAAATAAATAAATCTTTTTTTTTTTTTTTTTGGTTTTTCGAGACAGGGTTTCTCTGTGTAGCTTTGCGCCTCTCCTGGAACTCACTTGGTAACCCAGGCTGGCCTCGAACTCACAGAGATCCGCCTGGCTCTGCCTCCCGAGTGCTGGGATTAAAGGCATGCGCCACCACCGCCCGGCTAAATAAATCATTTTTAAAAATGCATACTCTAATCAGTTTGGGGGATGGGAATGAAGAGGATATTAATATAATATATATATATATATATATAATATTAATATATTGTATATGTATATATAATACATAACCAGGTTAAAATTAGAACTAGGAGCCAGCAAGATGGCTCAGCAAGCAGAGGAGCTTGTAAACAGCCTGATGACCTGAGTTCACTCCCTGCAACCCACATGGTCAAAGGAGAACAGATTCCCTAAAGTTGGCCTCTGACCTCCATATGCAAGCAGTGGCACACATACATACACCAAAAAATAAGTAACATAATAATAAAAATTAGGGCTGATGAAGAGCATATACTGCTCTTCCAAAGGACCTGCATCAGTTTCCACCACCCACATTTGGCAGCTCACAACTACTTGTAACTCCAGAGGATCCGATACCTCTTTTCTGGCCTTCTCAGGCACCCATGCACATATGGCACACACAGACACACACATAAATAGAATTGTTTTTAATCTAAAAATAGAACCAGGAGGCTAGGCTAATGATTCAAGGCCCTGGATTCTAACTCCAACAATACCAACAAAAACCTCAAGAAAAAAAATCAGAACCATGTTGTATAGTAAGGATAAGGATTAATTTCATTTTTATGTTACAGACTTACCCGTAATTCTCGATTGTTTCATGCCCATATATGCTTTTTTATTTATTTTCTTTTTTTGATTACAGGAAGATTTGTCTCATAGTATGAGAGTGTAGTCCTCTTTATGGATGGGAAAAGCATGGCAGAGGTTATGGAAGTAGGGGTTTGTGGCTGGCATTTCTCAACAGCAGCCATTCATACTTGCTTTTAGATTTTATATATATATATATATATGCTATTGTTTTACATCTTAAACCAAATATCTTAAGTCCCATCTATTAGGAATTTGCTGATTATTTTCCTTTTGCTTTTCAGGAACATTATGATCCAGAAACATGATGGCATCACAGTGGCAGTGCACAAAATGGCCTCTTGACGTCTCTCGTCAGTTCTCCAGCAGCCTGCCGTAGGGATTCAGTCCTCCCTGTGTCAGTTCACTTGTGAAACTATGGAAGTTCCAGAAGTTAGGCCATTCACCTAATGTCCACTGTGGACTTTGTTATTTATGTGACAGCCAGTTACAAGATGTTAGTTGGAAAGGATTGTAGGTGTTTTGTTTGGGCTTTTGTCATTTTGCTCTTTGGAGACAGTCACTGCAGTCCAGTATTGCAGCCCATCATTGCCTAGAACTGTGTAGCCCAGGCTGATCTCAAACTCATGGTCTTCCTGCTTCCAACTCCTGCATCCTGTATAGGCATTTGTCACCAAGGTCCAGGTCATTTTGTATATAGAACTTTGGTGTGGTCAATAAATCTATTTAGAGGAAAGTTTTCTTTTCTGGTTCTTTAAGCGCTTAATGCTCATTTTTTTTCAGTTATTGAATTGTGATTTTTTTTTTTCCAAAAAGATCGTTATCCCAAACTACCTTTTTCAGAAGTTCCTTGAAATGTCTGTTTTTTTTGTTTTTTTTTTTTTGGTTTTTCGAGACAGGGTTTCTCTGTGTAGCTTTGCGCCTTTCCTGGGACTCACTTGGTAGCCCAGGCTGGCCTCGAACTCACAGAGATCCGCCTGGCTCTGCCTCCCGAGTGCTGGGATTAAAGGCGTGCGCCACCACCGCCCGGCGAAATGTCTGTTTTTATACAAGGGTGCATGGACCAAACATTTCCCTTAACCTAAGTGACATAGGTAATATGTCCTTAATGAGATAAGAAACTACTCATTATACAGTACAGTAGGTACTCTTACACTCTTTGTTTTAATTCATCTTTTAGTGAACACAAAAATGGGTTTCCTGATAACACTGTCCTACATGTAATGTGCCCTGTTTTATGTTTATGTAACTAAAGCTGAGGGATTAGCATAGTCACTGAACAAGGGCCTACATTCTTTTGCGGGGGTGTTCTCTGGAGAACTCTGCTTGGTCTACCATCCAACATCAGGATTACCAGGAACCAAGAGAGCCTGCACATCCGGATCTCGGGTCTTAAGGGCTCCCATCTCCTCCCCGCCTCAGGGGCAGGCCATAGGTAGGCGTGACAGTTACTGGAAGCCTCAATGGGGGTAGTACTTCCAGGTCAAAGCTGGAACAGCTACCCACTACATGCCCCAGTTTGTTTATTTATTTAAATAGTTCCTACTACTATTTGGCAATTTAATATTTCCCAGTATAAAAAAATTCTAGAGTATTAAAGTGCTGTTTACAGAATAAGGATTTTGGGTAAGACACTCATAGCCCTTGTGTACTTAAGTAGAAGGTATATAATTATGTATGTAACATGTATGTAATGTCCTATCTTAGGCATACAATCTATATGTTTATCTGCACCACTGCCAAATCTGTTGTGAGAACATGACCTTTGTCTTACATTCTAATCACCTAGAACAGTTCTTAGTGCACAGTAGGCACTAAATAAGCTCTTGCTGAATACATGACTATACGGTTTTGTGGTATAAACTGGGCCTCCAAGAACAGAATGGATGTAATGAGTAAGGGTTTCTATCAAGAGGAAAGTAGTAAGAGGCAAACCAGAAGGAATACTTAGATAACAGCAAATGCTTTAGTCTGTTAGGCAGGAGGTAAAAAATCTAGAAGGCAGCTAACTTAAGAAAATGCCCTAAGAATCCTAGACCTATCTGGGTGGTGGTGGCTCACACCTGTAATCCCAGCACTTAGCAGGCAGATCTCTGAGTTCAAGGCCAGCTTGGTCTACAGAATGAGATCCAGGACAGCCAGGGATACATAGGGAAACCCTGTCTCAAACAAACAAACAACAAAACAAAAAACCAAAACACAATCCTAGACCTAGCAGACATGGGAGGCAAAGACATGATTGCTCTGAGTTTAAGGTTAGTCTGGGCTACATGGTTCCAGACTAGCCTGTCTCAAAAAAAAAAAAGAGAGAGAGAGAAGAAAAATCCTGGGGGTTCCAAGTTCATTTGTTTCCAATGAGAAAAACTGTTCTCATTAATCTCCAATTCTAGCCTAAATATAATGAGCCATTAAAACACAACACACACCAGGGTCTTGTATCTCAGGCTAGCCTTAAACACTATTAGGACAAAGATGACCCTGAATTTCTGATCTTCCTGCATCACTTCCAAAGGGCTGGGATTATAGGTGTGTGCCACGATGCCTGGCTTTTACAGTTCAGTCTTTAATGAGGTTTTTTCATGCTAGACATAAACTGAGCAATTTATATACATTTAGTTCATTTAATCTTCTGTATTATCCCAGTTTAGAAAAGAATGGGTTCTGTAAAATAATCAATGTGGTACTAAATAAAGGGGTGGGGGCAACAGAGCAAACAGAATAGGAACAAGGATTTAATTTTCTAGTCAACATCATAGAACAGAAGATGACTGATTTCAATTTTAGCCACATTGAATTTGACAGGGCACCCTGGTGATGATAATGCTCAGTAACAATGTAAGTACCTCCCATCCACTGCATTTTGAACAAAATTCAAAGTTGATAACATGGCCTGCAAAATCTAGCTCCTGCTCATGGCTTATGCCATGTATCATGCTACACCTGCTTATCTCATAACTCCTTTCTTTAGCAGTGTCTGTGAAGCAAGCATTTTCTCATTTACTCAGTAACCATTTGAGGTAGGAAAAAGTATATCCAATTTATTAATAAAGCAAAACTTGTGCTGGGAAGACCTGAAGGCTAGATGTCTTGTTACTTTTCTATTGCTGTGACAAAACACCATGACCAAAGCAACTTAGAAAAGAAAGCCTTTAATTAAGTTTACAGTTTCAGATCATTAAAAAGAGTCCATGATGGTAGAGCAAAGGCATGGTAGTAGGAACACCTGAAAGATCACATCTTGATCCAAAACAGGAGGCCAAGAAAGGCACACTAGGAATGCCAGGAGTCTTCAAATGTCAGGACCATTCTCAGAGCACATCTTCAGGCAAGCTAGGCCTCCTAATCCTTTGCAAACAGCTCCACTGACTGGGAGCCACAAATTTATGAGCCTGTGAGGTCATCCATTCTCATTCAAACCATCACACTGGAGATAGGTAATTTTCTAGTCTGTTCAGAACTAAAGCCGAAGTATGGTTGCATGGGGTTTCCCAAGCCCATCCTCTATGATGGTTAATTTTGTGAATTAAAACTTGACTGGACTATGATATTCAAGATACTTGAGTTAAGTGTGTCTGGATAAGGCCATTTGAATATGTGTTTGTGGGTCTCCTGTAACCCAGCGAAGCCCTGAACAGACTAAAAATCTTCCATCCTTTCTCTCCATTTGATTCTTTGACTTGGGGCACTGGCCCTCCATCCCCAGACTGTGCCTGGAACTTACACCTTAGTTCTGTTATCCTTGTTTGGAATGGAATCCTGCCACACTGTTTGCTGAGTATAGATGCTGGGCTTCTTAGTCTCTATAGTTATGCGAACTAATTACTTATAGTAAACCTTACTGGTCCCACTTCTATTGCCAACTGTTTCTGGCTCTGGACAACATAATTTCTTGGGAGATGCCAGGCAAATGCAATTCCTCAGTGAGCTGGATAGTGTTATGTCAACTTGGCACAAACTGGGGTCAACTGAGAGGAGGGAACCTCAATTAAGAAAATGACTTCATAAGACCAGGTTGTAGGCAGACCTATAAGGTGTTTCTTGATTAGTGATTGAGGGGGAGGGCCCAGCCCATTGTGGGTGGTATTATCCCTAAGGTGGTCCTGGGTTCTATAAGAAAGCAGGCTGAGTAAGCCATGGGGAGCAAATTAGTAAGCAGCACCCTCCATGGCTTTTGCATCAGCTCCTGCCTCCAGGTTCCTGCCCTGTTTGAGTTCCTGTCCTGACTTCCTTTGATGATAAACAGTGATATGGAAGTGTAAGTCAAATAAACCCTAACTTGTTCCCTAACTTGCTTTTTGGTCATGGTGTTTCATTACAGTAATAGAAATCCTAACTAAGGACGGGCGGTGGTGGCGCACGCCGTTAATCCCAGCACTTGGGAGGCAGAGCCAGGCGGATCTCTGTGAGTTCAAGGCCAGCCTGGTCTCCAAAGCGAGTTCCAGGAAAGGCGCAAAGCTACACAGAGAAACCCTGTCTCGAAAAAACCAAAAAAAAAAAAAAAAAAAAGAAATCCTAACTAAGACACTTAGTTCTGATGATTAACTAGGACTCAAAGGATTCAACATTTCCCTGTAATCATGTTTATTATAGTAAAAGGAGAATTTACAAAAGAAAATGGTATTTGGGAGAAAATGAAAAAGAAACAAGGCACACTAAGAATTCTCCTTTAGTCAAGTCATATAGAATGAACTTAATTTCTACAGCATGGAGTGTGATAATATTTATGAAACATCTTCAGCCAGAGAAGTTCACTAGACAGTGCCCAGAGGAGGCTGATCACAAGAGCATTTTCTACTAACAAATGTCAAACTTCCCGGTTCCCAGGAGTGAAGCATAAATCTTGATTGTTCCCTATGGGAACAGTGATCCACTCATGATTTATGAAATAGTAGGTATTCTCCTGAAATCCTAAGTTCCCAAATGCTAGCCAGAGGCCAGTTCTGTAAGCCAACTTAATTTTTTTCTTTTAATTTTTTTTTTTTAAGACAGGGTTTCTCTGCATAGCCCTGGTTGTCCTGGAACTCGTTCTGTAGACCAGATTGGCCTAGGAATCAGAGATCTGCCTGCCTCTGCCTCCTGAGTGCTATGAGCAATAGCATCAGCCACTATGTCTGGCTTTGTCAGCCAACTTTTTAAAGGCAAGGACTGAACAAGGACAAGGGAATGTTCAGCTGGATCATTTTCTTAATTTGGTAATATTGTACTAAACTAAGTCCCAAGGACTGAACACTACTCATAAGTTACCTGACAACAGTAATTAGGAATTATGGTAAATTCTTACCAAATAGCTTGATCGCCAAGAGTTAAAAGGTTAAAAGCTGAGAAATTAATCATATGTTTAAAGACTCTGTAAGCTTAATTAAGTCCATGGGTATGGGTGTTGACATGTTAACTAATATCCAAGATACCTTAACAATTCTTTCTTCTAATTAACAAGAATGATTCATGAGTTTTTATTTTGTTTTTCTTTCTTTGGTGCAGGGAGGCAGGGTCTGACTTTAACCTAGATTTGTTCAAATTCACAGCAGTCCCCTTGCTTCAGCATCTGAGATCCTTAACAATAATCTTGCAAAACAGCATTAGCCACATTTTATAGTTTCAGAAACAAATTCAAAGAGGTTAACTTGCTCAGAATTTCAGGACTTACAATGCAGAGTTGAGATTCTAAGCAGACCAGCATAACTCACTGTCTCACTGTCCCTCAACGGTTTCTACTAAGGTGTTTATATAAAAGGTATGTCTGAAGGGGCTCATCTCTGAGGACTTCAAAGTCCTCTTGGTCTATAGATGACTGTCCCACTCCATTTCAAATCTGGTCCCAGGGCTCCAGACAGAGCTATCAGTATCAAGCTCAACTTCACCTCTTGTGACTAAATCATAGCTTTGCTTTAAAAGAGTAGCTAGCATGCCACCACAGACCTTGAAACCAGTTCCGTGGATGGTCACTAAAAACATTTTCTTGGGTACATAATTATCACAGAGCTCCTTGAAAATTATTCCTCTTCCTCTGGGTTTTGCCTTCTGTATGTTTATTTGATCTTTACCACCAACACCACATAAATGCATCATCTTTCCATGGTTGCATTTACTGAGCATCCTCCCAAATTAAGCCATCCTACTCCAAGCACTTTAATAAAAAAAAGTCTTTGAGCTGGGCTTTAAGAGGATGAGAAACCCCTTGGTTAAAAAACAAACAAAAAGTACAGATTTCCAGATCAAACAACTCATACTTTGGCTTAAAATACACTCTGGTTTAAAAATCTGGAATGTTGGTGTAAGGAGATCAAAGGCACTTTCTTGGTGACTTACTTTTTTTTTTGTGGAAGGTGAAGCAAAGGAAGGAAATTGGACTGAAATGTTGAATTAGTCAGGTAATTTTCTAGGACTCAGCCTTAATCATTTCCAAAATGCAGTAAGAAAAAAAAAGTTTCATTAAAATTACTATAAGTATACATTTTTCATGGGAAGTATCTGAAATTAATCAGGTTCAAAAAAGCAATTAAAATGGGACCTGAAATCCCAAATTAGTAATCATACTTAGTGAGTACAATAGAGCACACAGCGGGCTAAATTTACTGAAGGTTTTTGTGTGTTTGCTACTAGGGACCAAACCCAGGTATCCAAGCTAAGCATGCACTCTTTTCAGAGAGCAACATCTCCAGCTCCAACACTACCATCTGTGGCCCAATAAGAAACTCTCCCACGTCTGGAATTTGTTCCTTTAGAAACCAGTCTTGATACTCCCTGGTGAACTTTGGACAAGTGTTTCAAAAATCTGAAGTCCCATCCCCACCCCCAACCCCTCAGGCTTGAGATGTCACTAGGAGGATTTTCTCCTTGGTTTACTCCAACTGCTTTTGACCTAGGTGGAAAAATCTGTGTGGGCTGGCTGGAAGGCTGGCCTGAGCTGTTCTCAAGTTACAGCCTCTTCCTCCTCCCTCAGGAAGTAAAGTCCACTGGCAGGAGTGTCTAAACCACTCTGCCCTGCTGCTGGACTACAATGCCTGCTTGTTTTCACCAAGCAGCGGAATGAAATTCCTTAGGGAAAAAAAGTAACATTTTAGGAAAAGTAACTATTTTTCCTCCAAATTTCCTTGTCTACAGAGGATTCATTTGCTGAACACATCCTTAAAGGTAAGGTGGAAATGGAACTGGGCCTTGGGTTGGTCTTCTCAGGGGCCTTGGAATAACTGGAATCTCTGTCCAGCCTAATCATCTAACAGATGTCAGGCACATGTACGATACACACACATCCCTGGCATCTTTCTGTCCAGCCTAATTGTCTAACATGTTACACACAAGTGGGAGTGGGAGTGAGCGAGAGTGCGGGCGCGCACGCGCACGCATACACACGCACACACACACACACACACACACACACACACACACACACACACACACACACACACACACACCAGCCTGCTTTAACAATTGGAAATGAGGGTAACACCCATTCCTCAGAACACATACATTTTCTCTTTACCAATATATAGGTATTTACTTACTCAACTGTTTGAAGGTAGCACAGTATGACATTCCAATCTTGAATACCTAGCATCTCTCATAAGGTGGAGACTAGTCTCCTGCAGAATCATAATTCCACTATCACATGCAAAATATTTAACTTCTATACAGTACCCTCTATTTCAGTTCATTCATATTTCCCAATTGGGCTTCCCAATTTCTTTTTCTGATGTAGTATCCAGTTAAGAAAGAGATAATGTACTTGGTTGGGGTATCTAGTTCTTTAAAAAACCTAAATGCCATATAAAGGGGCTGTGTAAACCCAAGGTCCCCCTCCCATTTATTTTTCTTTAGAGTGAAGGGCTGGTTCCCAGAACTGGAAAGGGAACACATGGCTTCCTCTAGAATTGGCTATAGGTGGTGGAGATTCTGAGCACAAGTGGAGTGGCCATTCCTGTCAAGGGAGTGAGGCTGAGCCCTTCTTTACATCAGGCAGACTTCATATGTAACTAAGTGAGAAGGAAAAAGTAAAATCACAGAACAATTGCTTTTATACCATGGAGAAAAAAATGAAATTTAAAAATTTAGCCATGCACACCTATAATGCCAGCTTTCAGAAGGCAGGACTGCCTTGAGTTCTAAGCTAGCCAGAGCTACATAGCATGACCAGGTCTTAAAAACAAACACACACACACAAACCAAACAAACCCCACATAAGTTTCAATCACTTCCTTGGCTACTGAAGCAACTATGTTTTGGCTCTGTCACAGTGATCTTCTGTATGTAACATACAGGAAGTCTCATGATGAAGAGGGAAGAAAAGGCCCCCCCTTACACTAAAACCCTGGATGGAGGATGGGGATGGATGATCGTGTTGCATTTCTTCCTGGTAAGTTTTCTCCCCTTTCAGACTGCTAAACTGTCTGGAGAAAAGCTTGAAACAACCTAATAAAATCACTTCAGAAATAACGGGATTTGAATAGACAGGCAGCCAGGAACTTCCCCAAACTGCTAAGATCAGAGGCCAACCCAGCTAAACCCAGCTGAGCTGTTTCCCTTCAGAGAAAGAAACATTATCCAGTCCTCTCCTCTGCCTCTCTGATCTCTTAATCAGAGAATGCTCAAGGCTTGATTGGCAGTTCTACTTTGGCAGCATGGCAATTGGGATTTGAGGACATTGCATTTACTATACTAGGGATAGCATTGGGCATTTCTGAAAGTACTCAAGCCCTGTCAGGTGAGACTATTCTTGTAATTCCAGCACTCAGAGGCCAAGGCAAGATGACTGCTGAATGTTCAAGGCCAGACAGTCATACATGGCAAGACCCTATCTCAAAATAACTGCCCACTCAGTCTAACATGTACACAGTACTGACAGTAGTCCCTGTGCTGGTGTTTGTCTACTTGACACCAACCTACACGTCTGGAAAGAAGGAACAGCAATTGAGCAATTGCTTCCATCAGACTGGCCTGCAGGCAAGTCTGGGGGGGGGGAATTTTCTTGATTAATGATTGATGTGGGAGAGCCCAGCTCACTGCCTCCTCTGGACAGGTGGTCCTGTGTTGTTTAGGAAAACAAACTGAGCAAGCCTGGAAAACAAGATAGGAAGCAGTATTCCTCCATAGTTTCTGCTTCAGTTCCTGCCCTGACTTCATGATAGTCTATAAACTGTAAGCTGAAATAAACCTTTTTCCCCCCCAAGAATTTTATCATATCAATAGAAAGCCAAGTGAGACAGCCTCCTTCACTGATAGGGTTGGGAACATTTCAGCCTGCTGTCCACATCCCCGCTTCCCCATAACTTAAACTAGAATTAAACATTGTAGATCTCACATGTAAAACTAAGACTTCTTGCCCTCACCTCCAAGAACTGTTGGGGTTGCTTTGTAAAAAAAAGTGGTGATGTGCATTGTCAGGATGCCCATTCTAAACACTGATGGATCCCATCATGGCTGTGCCTCAAATAACCCTGCGTGTCTATAAACTTGGAGACACACTCATAAAAACACCTTTTTCTTGACACTCCTCCCCTGCTTAGATTTACAATAAGAGGCCACACGATGGGAACACAAGTCCTGGCGAGTAACAGACATCTGTATGAAATTGGAGGTGGGAAAACATAACGCATTACCCCTCCATAATGACAGAAAAGGAGAAGGCAGAGCTTCTCAGCTAAGATTTGTGTATTATAAAACTTAATAAAGCACAATTTGCTAAATTCTGTCTTCATTACCAAAGAATAGAATTTCGTCTCTCCTTCCATAGAAACATTACTAATAGGGAAAGTAAAGATGCCTTTAGTTTCTGAGAGCCCTGCCTGGTTGGGCCTCCTCTCAAATAATGGTGTATGGTGTTGGTATTGTTGGATAGTCTGGGTCTCCCACTTTTTCTACATTTTTCTTAATGGCTGGCAAGTCATTTGACTAGTTACTGCTAAGACAAAGTACCTCATAATCAGGGTAGTAATGTCTTACTTGGGTAATATGATGATGCTTACTGAAGCACAAAAAAATATACCGAACTATTAACAATGAACTCAAGCTAAGTCACTGCTCATAGTAATAATGTGCATCCTTAGGGCAATGCATTTATTTCTGTGTGAATTACAAGCATGCTTTTCTTTAAGATTTAAACTCCTGAAAAAGTGGAAAAAATTCTCAGTGTACTTTGTAAGCTCCCCTACAAAGGCAGAGAGGTTACATTGTAACTTACCATACTTTAATATATAACTGTTTCTGTGTTTAGTATGTCTTACCAGACATATATGCCTACTCTGAATATACAGCCTGAAACACAGTAGCCACTAATTAAATACCTGCTCATGGGGGATGAAATATCTGATAGACAAGACATATTTATAATTAACAAGAGGACAGATGAAGTCAGAGGTGCAGAGAGGCTACAGAAAACACGTTAAAAGCCAGGTGTGGTGGTGCACACCTGTAATGTCCGCACTATTAGGCAGTGGCAAGAGGAACATGGGTCCAAAGCTAGCCTGGGCAGCACAGTGAGATAATGTCAGAAAAATAACAGATTGACCAGGAATATTGGTTGCTCTGAGGTTATAAAGTTTTAATGAGGCAAATTAATCGGGAAAGTATTTTAGAATTACATCTGTGGTTGCTATGCCAATAATGGACTAGTGAGGATTGTACCTAGACATAGAGTATTCATTGGACAAGCTGCAATACAGGCAAGAAAACAGTAAGGTCCCAAATTTAAGGAAGATACCAGGAATAACTGAAAATACAGATCTGATCATATTGAGAGGGCAGACTAAGATGTGGACAGGAACCTGCCCAGCAGGGAATATAGAGTCCAGAGTTGTTAGCTGAAGAATTTTGGTGGGTGATGAATGCTCACTAGAGTTAGGAATAGGAAGAAACACTATGAACAGTTTGAATGGCTTAATCTTGTACAGAGTCCAAGGGACTTGTAACCAAGAATGTGTTTGTATAGTCTACATGTACCTGGAGCAACCTGTGTCTCTAATATATACTGTTTGAACTTTAAGGCAAAGTGGATAAAATCACCAGAGAAAAGAGGAATAAGACAAATCTTGAGGGTAACCAATGTGGGGACGAATGGAATCATTCAGAGAGGGTAAAAAAGTGAAGAAGTAGGAAGATGTCTAGAAATTATCAGGGAAAAAAACGATGTGTGGACACTGCTGAGGTCACATAATAGAAATAGCAACAATCTCCTGACTTAGCAACAAGCAAGTTATAACCTTGGTCAGAGCCCTTACATGATGGGCACTAAGCTAGTGAACTTCAGTTTTCAGTGGAATATTATGATAAGAGAAAGTAGACACAATAGACTTTGAAAAAACTTGTCTGTGGAGGTCAGGACAAGCATGGATAATACTACAGAAGGGCCTGGGAAAGACGCTGCCATTAAATAAAAGTGACCCTAACAACTGGCACTGATTTCAAAATAAATCAAGGCCACACACACACACACACACACACACAGTAAGGCCCACTTAGTATTTCTTTTTGTTTGCTTGTTTTCAAGACAGGGTTTCTCTGTGTAGTTTTGGTTCCTGTCCTGGAACTCCCTCTGTAGCCCAGTCTGGCCTCAAACTCACAAAGATCCGCTTGGCTCTGCCTCCCAAGTGCTGGAATTAAAGGCATGCGCCACCACCGCCCAGCCTTAGCCCATTTATTCTTATGGGTCCAATACAACTAACTGCTTTTGCCAGGAGGTGTTTGCCCCCGCCTTTAATCCCTGCACTCAGGAGAGTTCAAGGACAGCCAGGGATACACAAAGAAGAAACTCTTGTCTTGAAAAACCAAAACCAAAACAACAAAAAACTGCTTTTAAGTTGGAAATTAGGGGTTGAACCATTCCTAGGATTTTGCTTGATTTGAAGGTGAAACTATTACAATGGCTGATGAAAACTCTGAAGCAGGACTGAAACCTACCAAACTTGATTCAAGGCATGGGATCAAGACTAATATAGTCATCTGCTTGGTTAATGAAGGGAAAATACATTGGGAGAAGTCTTTAGAATCTTTTTTGAGTCCAAATAGAAATGAATTAGGAAGTTCAAAGTTAAAGAGAGCTGGCTGGGTAAATCCAAGAGCTCTGCCTTTCCTTTCCTGATACTCAGTGAATACACAACACAGCCTGTTATTGGGCAGGTCACACTCAATTCATGGCTGTCATACCTAGACATTAGAGTTAGAAGGAATAAGAAACACCTGAACAAAGAAGAAAAGTTCTTACTTAAGACCAATAGCTAGCCACATTCAGATGATTAATAACAGAGGTAAGCCAGGAGTGGTGGCACATGTATTTAATCCCAGTTTTGGGAGGCAGAGACAGGAGGATCTTTGTGAGTTCAAGATCAACCTGGTCTACACAGTTCTAGGACAGCCAAAACTTTTGAGACTTTCTCAAAAAAAAAAAAAAAAAAAAACAAAAAAAAACAAAAAACAAAAACCAGGTAAGCATTGTGGACACCACCACATAGTTCATACATAAAGGAAAAAGGCTTACAGAATGACACTTCACATTGGTGGTCCTTGCTCATAAGGACTGCTCATTTTAAACTGAGACAGGTCTAGTGCATTGATATTTACACAATTTGCTAGTTTGATTTTTTTTTTTTTGGAGAAAAATTATAATAGATTAACAGATAGTGGGTGCTAGAGACTGAACCTGGGCCCTCTGGAAGCGCAATAAGTGCTCTTAACTGCTAGGCCATCTTTCTAGTCCCAAGTTTTGTTTTGTACTTTCAAATCAGAATGAGAAAACTGTTTAGGACTCCTTCCTGAACTTTGGGAGCCTCCTATACACTGCCAATTCTTGGTCTCTTGCCTCCAGATAAGAAATACTATTCTGAAAAAAGACTAGAAATGCTGATTAAAGAAGGGTGGGTGTTGGTCATGATTCTTTAGGAGTTGAGGAATGGTGGTATCCAAACAGAAATAGTTGTGTTCCTCCCACTCCCCCAAAGCACGTGGAATAAACAACCTCCTGAAATGCTATGCAATAAGGAAACAAAATAGTGGTGAGTCTGGAGTCAGTCTAGGATATAAACTTCACTGCCTGTACCATCATTGGCATTTTTTTCTCTCTAAACTTCAGCTTCTCACCTACGAATCAATAGTGACACATCCTTTTCATAAGACTTGAAATGGGGATTTCAAGTCTATATTTTCATGACTATGTCTCACCACTTTAAAGAGGACTAGCCTACTTCTCACCTAACGAGGACCCTGATATGCTTTGGTTTAGGTAAATGTGTTTGTGATGGGGATGACCAAGACATTTGCAATTTTCTTTGTGGTCTTTCAAGAAGAGTTTGAAGGCACTTCAGAGCAAATTGGTTGGATTGGATCCATCATGTCATCACTCCGTTTTTGTGCAGGTATGAAACTGGCAACAAGCTTACTGTCTATGGAGAAAGACCATAAAGGTCTTTGACAACACTGTCATGACTTTAAGGTTGAAGTACTGTTACATTCAAGTTTACTTATTAATATGCATTAATATCAATATGCAATACTGAAAGAGACATCATAGTGTTTAATGTAGATGTATTCAACCGTCTTATTAAATAAGAAACACAGAGCCGATTCAGAGAAGAAAGCCAAGAGGTCAGAGCTAAGAGCCTCACCCTTCCTGCTTCAGCGATCCTGTTCAGCCAAGAGAGCTCTCCGAAAAAAGGGACCTACTTCCTGTGTGTGTCTTTATATAGTCTAGCTGTTCTGCCTTCTCATTGGTTATAAACCCAAACATGTGACTGCCTCGTCACTGCCTGAATGTACCGCCCTCCAGGTCCTTAAAAGGCGTGTGCCACCGCCGCCATGCACTTGCTATGGCTCTAATAGCTCTGACCCCCAGACAACTTTATTTATTAACATACAATTAAAATCACATTTCAGTACAAGTAAAATACCACCACATTTCCCCTTTTCTTTTTTTTTTTTTTTTTTGGTTTTTCGAGACAGGGTTTCTCTGTGTAGCTTTGCGCCTCTCCTGGAACTCACTTGGTAGCCCAGGCTGGCCTCGAACTCACAGAGATCCGCCTGGCTCTGCCTCCCGAGTGCTGGGATTAAAGGCGTGCGCCACCACCGCCCGGCTCCCTTTTCTATTTTAATAAAAAGGAAAAAAAAGAAAAAGGCACTACTTAACTTGATAATTAAGTTGGGAAAATGAGGGTTAGAAAGGAATTAAGAATCCAACTATTTAATTCATGACTGGAATTTTTCATGCCTTGTTTCTTTCTAGTCTGGTAAGGCTTTCAGTCCAGTGAGCCAAGACTGAAAGTGAAACCTTTCAGTTTTAATTATGTGACCATATTCAAAACAAACATTAAACCAATTTCTCCTCTGGTTCTAGTTAGTGCTTAGTAATACGGTAATATGGAGATTAGTGATTCAACTTTGCACAAAACAAAGGTCACTAGTACAAATACAATTTTATTTTCTTGAATATACAATATTTTAAAGTAGTCATCTTGCTTTCTTCTAATCATTCATTCAAATCACACATAGGGATTGATGGATGCCAGAGCACATTAACTTAGCACTTTCTCTTTCTTCTCTCAAGGTCCCCTGGCTGCTATTATTTGTGACATACTTGGAGAAAAAACTACTTCCATTCTTGGGACTTTCCTTGTTTCTGGTGGCTATCTGGTCAGCAATTGGGCCACAGGCATTCCCTTTCTTTGTGTGACTATGGGACTGTTACCAGGTGAGTCTACTGTAAATAGACTATAAAAGATGAAACAGGAAACCTTCCTATTGCCCAAGGCTCCTAAATAGATGATCTGATCTGGTTAACTAATAACCTAATAAGAAAGGAATTTCAAACTTGTTTTTCTTTTAGGATTGGGGTCTGCTTTCTTGTACCAAGTAGCTGCTGTGGTAATTACCAAATATTTCAAAAAACGATTGGGTCTTTCAACAGCAATTGCCCGTTCTGGAATGGGACTAACGTTTCTATTGGCACCCTTTACAAAATTCCTGATAGATCTTTATGACTGGACAGGTGAGTCAGTCTAAGTTTCTAAACTATCAACTCCAAAAGGTTAATGTTTAGCCCTCCCTTTGATGACTACAGGTGAAGCTTCAAGACTAATAAATTCCTCTTCCTCGATCCAAGGTCACTGTGAGACCGTAGTGACTCCGAATCTTGCTATGTAGACCAAGCTGGCCTCAAACTTGTGGTGATGCTGGGATTATAGGAATGAAGCACCAGAACACTTAAGTGCAAACACTTGTAGAATGTATTGCTATAATATGCACAAGGTTTGGGGTTTAATCCCTAGTACTGAATATGACAGGGGAAATAAGGATGATACTTAATAGAAGCACAACTAGAAAATAAGAAAAAAAGTTCTTCCATGACCTAGGGGCTTTGCTAGCCCACTCAAAATTCTCTTTGGAATTCAACGCACGAGATCCAACTGGAAACAGTGTACAGTAACACCCTTAGAAAAACAATGCTCTTCTCTTTTTCCTCCAAACCGTCATTAAAAATTGTAACTAAAATAGATTAAATGGAAAAAGTATTTGTAAAAAGATTATGTTCCTATTGGACATATATATGTCTATGTGTGTGTGTTTATATATATATATAAAATCAACTAGAAATTTCATAAAACCATTTCAGTTTTCTGAAATACTTTAGTTAAAATGTTTATGTCTATTTCTTTCTTTATAGTGGTTTCATTAATTCTTTCCTATGTAGTCTCATGGTGAATGGTAATCTCCAGCTGACAATCTTTAAGAAAGCCTACATAGTTTGTTCTCTCCAGAAACACAAGTCATAGCTTTGTTCAGGACACACTGAAACCAAGTACTCAGTATCAAAGGCAAGACTAGCATGTCTTCTTTCAAGGGAATTAAAAAAGTATCAGGCTGAAAGGCTGTTCCCTTTTCTAATTCCCCATGATTCCTGTCAACTAATTCTGTATTTCCTACAAAATCCAGTCACTGCGATATATTTAAAATACCCATAAGCCAGTATGTGGAGGTGCACAACTTTAATCTCAGCACTCACTTGGGAGGCACAGGCAAGCAGAGCTGAGAGTTCAAGGCCAGCCTGGTCTACAGAGCGAGTTCCAGGACAACCAGGGCTATTATACAGAGAAACCCTGCCTGGAAAAACAAAACTCATTAAAATGTATTATAACTTTGTGCCATTCAGATTAGCAACTTGCCTCCCCCCCTTTCCTTTAGCAAAAATAACCCCTTTTCATATGTCTTCTTGGTCCAACTTCCTGGTTTTCTATCTCCAAAGTATTCCATTTTTCTGTAGCATGTATATTGTCAATAGATTTAAATGCTTTCAGTTGAATTTGGGAGGCAAGAAAGGAGAGATGGCTCAGCAGTTAAAAGCCATTTTGTTATTCTTCCAGATGACTAGAATTCCATTCCCAGCACCTACATCAGACATCTCATAACTGCCTAGAATTTCAGCTCCAGGGGATCTCATTCTCTCTTCTGGCTTCAGTGGGCCACACACATGCATGAACATGAGCACATAATGCATGCACATGGAGACACATACATACGCATAAAATAGACTTTTAAGTAAACATGGAGGCAAAGTAGTGTTTTCAAGAATTATTGGACTAAGTAGATTGGCCTTTTCTGAGTCTATAAATAGAAAGTACCATGAACCAAAGAGTATTCTTATCTTCTCAATTTCTCTCTTCTACTTAGGTGCTCTTATATTATTTGGAGCTATTACATTGAATTTGGTGCCTTCCAGCATGCTCTTAAGACCCATCCACATCCAAATAGAGAACAATTCTGATATTAAAAGCAAAGGGAGCAGTTTGTCTCCAACTGGACCAGAGGTATCAGACAGGACAGAAACATCATACTGCAATGAGACACAAGAGTCTTCCATCCAAGGCATTTCTATGAAGAAATCTGGACCATCTACTAAAAATTTAACTGTCGTAGAAAATCAAAGTGAAGAGTTCAGCAACAGGCCTCACAAGAACAGACTGTTACTTACGAGCAATGACAAAAGTTACCAGAAAAAGTTTTTTTCATGGAACTGTAAAAATCTTTTAGATATTTCTCTCTTTAGAAATCCTTTCTTCTATATATTTACCTGGTCTTTTCTCCTCAGTCAATTAGCATATTTCATTCCTACTTTTCACCTAGTAGCCAGAGCCAAAACACTTGGAATTGACGTAATGGATGCCTCCTACCTTGTGTCTGTAGCTGGTAAGAAAACCTATTTCAAGCTTCCTACCTAGAAGGAAAAATGAACTTTGCTTGTTAAAAGTTTATTAAATTTTACTTTAAAACTGAAGCAAGTAGAAAAAGGAGGGAAAAAGCAAGAGTGATCATGAGTGGGCTGTGGAAGGCTAGGGAAAGCACATTTTCTGAGGCTAAGCAGAATACCTTGCATTTCCTAATGCAGATCTGTAAACTGCTATCTTGCAGATTCAAATGGACCCAACTTACCTTATTCATTTTCAGGTGTCTAACACAGTAGACATCAATTACTCCTTGGGTAGCTTAATTTCAGAAAGCTGGTGCTAAGTGTCAATAACAAGTCTGGGAAGAAGGAAATCTCAGCCAGAAAACATAGTGTAGTAAGTGGAAAGATTGATTCTGAAGCTTAACTTCTCAGGTCAGGCTCTTGCTCTGAATTTCCTTGCTGTATGACCTTGGGCAAGGCATCCTCCTCTGTGTCAGGATTTCCTGTCCTATCTATAGGATATGCATAGCACAATGCTTTACCTCACAGCTCTATTATGAATGTAATGTGTGTAAGTCAGTTTAGTGCCAGGCCCACAGTTAGCATAATGTTCTACTGGTATTTGATGCTAAATATATTTCTTCTTGAAATAATTGTGAGATAAACATGACCCTTGGATTAGTCACTAATCCACAGGTTCATGTTTAAAATAAATTAGAATGTTCTTTTCTGTAATTATAAAATATTGTAAGATCAAATGCTTAAGTTGCAGATTCTCTCACCTGACAAAACAAAAAGTGAAACAAATGAAAATGGGTAAGATTGAATCCGTTTTGCTCTAAGCCAGCAATTCTCAGTAGTCAACTTACCTTTTCTTCTACATATCTCTTACCTACCAAGCCCTTGCAAAGCATAAGACACCTAGTTTCAAATGTTCTCACTGCAAAGATGCTGTGCTTCAGTGAAAAAATGCTGTTACACTATGTAGACTAGGCTAGCCTTGAACTCAGAGATCTGCATACACACACACATTCTAAAGGCATGTGCCACAGGCTCCATGTTATTCTTGATGACAACGGCTTTTGGTATTTTTAACTGCTATGTCTTGTAACAGGATAAACAGTAAGAATGCCGAGTGAAAAAACGTGTTCTTAAATTTTACTGATTACACCATACCACCTATGTCCCAAATGACATTTTTAGACTTCTTACGTATTTCCAAATTAACTATAACAACCTTTGGAGGTCTTAAATTCCAAAGCTTCATAAACAAATATAAGTCCCTGGCACCCAACGTTCGTGGTACGTGCAGTCGCTTGCCTGTGGCCTTTCGGGCTCCCGCTTAGACCTGAGATACATATAGCCGGTTGTGGTGGCTTGGCGGCCACCAGCTCCCCAGCTCCGGCCGAGCAGGCCCAACCGACCGTAGCTACAAGCGGTTGTGGGGTCTGTGGGGCTGGGCAGGACTGGAGAAAACTCCAGCTACAAGTCCCAGTGTCTATGTTTTTTAATGTAAGATTTTAAATTTTTGTCTCATGTTTTACCTTATGACTCCTCAGGACACTTAAGTTTCATATCTTCACTTGCAGGACCTTTTAAGAGACTGTAAGACCTCTTCAACCCATGGTCTTTTTAGCAAGGATTCCACACACAATTAGAAAACACACATGGCAACTTGATGGTTTCATGTTCTGCTGGAGGCAGCATTTTGCTATTTTATTAATGTGTTTAGAAAAGAAAAGTAACTTATATATCCTATTTTGGTACGAAATCATTTTTTTTTTGGTTTTTCGAGACAGGGTTTCTCTGTGTAGCTTTGTGCCTCTCCTGGAACTCACTTGGTAGCCCAGGCTGGCCTCGAACTCACAGAGATCCGCCTGGCTCTGCCTCCCGAGTGCTGGGATTAAAGGCGTGCGCCACCACCGCCCGGCACGAAATCATTTTTCTTTCATGTATTCTGACAACAAAATGGAGTCCTACTACTTGGGGAAAGATGAGCTTATATACACTGACGTTTTTACAAAAGGTGTTAGGAAACACACAGATTGCCTAACTTTGTATTCGCTGTTCTAGGTATCACTGAGACCGTCAGTCAGCTCATTTCTGGATGGATTGCTGATCAAAACTGGATCAAGAAGTATCAATACCACAAGCTTTACCTCATCCTGTGTGGTGTGACTAACCTGCTTGCTCCTTTGGCCACCACATTCCCACTCCTTATGGCCTACACCATCTTTTTTGCCATTTTTGCCGGTGGCTACCTGGCACTAATACTCCCAGTACTGGTGAGTAGACTCATTCATTAAAGTTAAACCACTCAATACAAAGATCAGTAACAGCTTTCCCAAGAGCGAATTCAAATTTCATATTATTTTTGATTTAAAAACGACATGAGAACTCAGAATTCCTATAGCTAGCTATATCCTGTCATTATTTATCTTACCGTGTGAAGAAGAAAAGCTGAGAGGACTACCCACATAGAACAGGAAAAGGAGGAACAGATCAGCAGCAAGATTCCAACTATCTTCTATTCACTTCTTTCCTTCAGGCTCTAGGGGACTCTGTCTCTTGCTAGAACACAGGCATGTAGGTCTTCTTACATATGGCTTCTGTGTACTTTAAGAACATTGTTTTGACAAGTTCTCTGTTTTTATTGCAAAGTGACTTAAATCCTGAATTCAAATGGAACTGAACTGTTTTTTAAGTTTTATAGGACAGTGTCTGAGGCTTAGGCAAAATTCCAGGTTCCTAAGGCTGAAAACCACTGTTTCCTAGTTGACTTCTATTTGCTTTCCTAACACTGGGGGCAAAGGACCACCCAAATCATCCCAGGAGTCAATTCATTAAGATTAAAAAAAAAAAAAATGGTGTCACCCCTTAGTAAACATAAGATACTGGAGAAGGTAATCCTTAAAATGGCTAACACTGATTTCTAATTGCAGGTTGATCTATCTAAGAATTCTAGAGTACACAAGTTTTTGGGATATGCCAGTTTCTTTGCTGGAATGGCTGTCCTTTCTGGACCACCGATAGCAGGTAACAACTGAGCCACACTCTAAGCAAATTTCAATGAAGAAAATAGTCTAGGATTATGGCAATAGTACCAGGTATAAGTGCTGTATTTGACTTTCCCATGTTTCCTCTACCCTGATCACCAATACAGGAAAATCTGAGTTAATTTTGTAGATGTGCTATTTTACTTTACTAGAAATAACCAGTTTAACCTAAATGGTATTTTCTGCTTTCTGATTTAATTAAAAAATTGACTACTTGCACAAAAAAAAAAATATTCCTAGCGAACAGGCTTAAATGTCAGATTCTCACAGACCAAAGGTTCAATATATTTGATCTTACTGACTGCTACTATATTTGCACTGTCCACAAAAAGGAACTTACCTTAAAATTCACTCTGCTATTTTTAAATGGTTTGTTTTGTTTTTGAGACAAGGTCTCATTTGCTGAAGCAGGCTTCATACTCCCCATGCACCCAGGAAACCTTAAGAAGTTCCCGATCCTCCTGTCCCCACCTGTGATTACAAGTGTGAAATCAATTACTTGGGTTATGCAGAGATGGGAAATGAAATCAAACTCAGGGCATCCATGCTAGACAAACAGTCTGTCAACTGAGCCAGCCCTCACTTTTGCTACTTTTAGACCATAACTGAAACAGTGATTCTGCCCTATCATTAAAAAACAAAAACGGGTCGGGTGGCGGTGGCGCACGCCTTTAATCCCAGCACTCGGGAGGCAGAGCCAGGCGGATCTCTGTGAGTTCGAGGCCAGCCTGGGCTACCAAGTGAGTTCCAGGAAAGGCGCAAAGCTACACAGAGAAACCCTGTCTCGAAAAACCAAAAAAAAAAAAAAAAAAAAAAAAAAACCATTTGTAATGGTGTTAAGTTTGTACTTTTTTTTTTTTAATATTATTTTTGAGGCAGGGTCTCATGTAGCTCAGACTGATCTTAAACTCACTACCTCGAGGGTGCTTGCTGGCTTTGAACTCTTAATCCTCCCTCCTGCCTCCATCTCCCAAGTGCAGGAACTACAGGCATGTGTCACCATTCTTGGCTTCTATTTAATTTTTTATTTTTTTTTAAATTTACTTTTATTATATTTGCATTGGTGTTTTGCCTGCATGTATGTGTGAGGGTGTCAGATCTTGGAGTTATAGACAGTTATTAGCTGTCATGTGGATGCTGGGAATTGAACCTGGGTCCTCTGGAAGAGCAGTCAGTGCTATTAACTGCTGAGCCATCTCTCCAGCCCACTAATTTTTTTTTTTAAATGAAAAAGAACAGACTACAACAGAGCAAATTAGAAAATAGAATCACTTTATTGTGAAACTTTTATTTCATGCACATATCTAATGCATTATAAAATTTGTTTTCAATCAATCAGAAAAAAATGTTTAGAGTTTTTTCTTACCCAAAATGTAGAATACTTAGAGCTCCTGATAGATACTTGTATCCACTAATCCTAAGAATTGGGCAGTCAAAAATGTTCTAACAAGTCAAGGGTAGTAATAAAGCTACTGCTAAAAGCTCACATGGATTTTTTTCCTCTTGTTAGTTGCTCACAGTATCTCAAGTAAGATTAAGATAAGACACTAAACTAAGGACATCTCATTGACAGTGATGTTACATGGCTAAGCATCTTGTTAAAGGGAGAGGTTTCAAGGAAGCCTTTGTTTCTGCAAGTCATTCCTCTATAAAACGATAGAGGACTTTATAAAGACCATTAGATCTCTTCCCAAGTTCTGACTTCAGCAGCAACTACCAAAAACACTACAAATTATTGGTTTTCAGATTAACTCAATTCTTTGGAATGGAGCTGTAGCTCAGTGGTGGACCACTTGCCTAACATGTGTCCGGCCCTAGGTTCAATTACTAGTACTTGAAAACCAAAATAAAAACAGTATTTTATTAAGAGGTATGGGACATTACATGATTATATTTACCTTTAACTCTAAATGTTTACTGGTAATCTTCAGAGCTGTAAGAGATTCTCATTTTTTACTTACCCATATCTATTACCAAATGAAAAGCTGAAATTCCTATAAAAGAGTATAGGCATGTTTAAGTAGGAATCTGGCAAACAGTATATCCTCAGTCAAACTGTTTGTTTAAAATGGTAACAGTGAATATATAAACAATATACTTCTCCTTCCTGTATGGGAATGAAAAAGAAAAGAAAAGTTAGTTCTATACAACACTTTAATAACTCTAGGAAAGAAAAAAAACATAGGAAGCCTATAGAAACCATTAATTAAAAAAATACACAATTGAAAATATATAAATAGAGCACATGGGAAATAAAATCATTTATATACCTTTATCATCATAAATATGACTAAAAATATAACAGCAACACGATTCCTTAACATAGGACAAAAAGCCAAAACCCTCCTCTCCTGTACTCCTCCATGGAATACCACTGCTGCATACTCCAGCCAGGTTCCTTCTATCCTTTTCCAGGAACTAGTAACAAACCCAATTTTACTTAAGAATATGGCCCAAATCACACTCAGTTCCCTGGCTGAGGGTGGTTAGGAAACTAAGTGTACGTTAAATGTCACTGACTACCCAAACCTTCCAGGTTTTTGCTGGTAGATAGCCTCCAGAATTCCATCTTAGCACCAAGATTGTAGCTTTGAAAGATTGTGGGGAAATAGAAGAATTAATATTTGAAAGTTTGTTAAATTTCTAGCAGACCCTTGCTAAAAAACATACAAGATGCATATCAATATTATAGATGATAACTTGGACAGAAAAATATAATCATATTCTCCATTATACAATTCAGACATAAACCACATTACATAAAATTCCTCATCTTGACTTCAAGGCATTTGACATGAGCTCAAAATAAAACGGCTATTTCATTTCAAATTAGAAGGCCCATACTAGCTACCTACAAAATAATAAAACTGAATATATTTCTCCCTTATCCCACTTCTCCCCATTCCCAATAAACAAATACATTATGCACATACATAAATCAAGCACAAATATCTTGAAAGCTTTCCTAACTTTTTAAATTAGTTTGATTTTATCTCTCTATTCACGCAATAACCACCAAGCAACTTTAGCTTGCTGCAACTCGCTACACAAGAATCTTCACTCTCTCAAGGCCCTTTAAGAAAACTTCAAAAATTTTTATCAACTTTTCTGATTTTCTAAGACAGGGTCTCACTCTATAGTGCAGGCTGCCTAGAACTTTCTATGTAGTACAGGGTAACCTTGAACTTAAGATTCTCCTGCCTTTCAAGTGCTGAGATTACAGGCATGTGCACCATGCCCTGCTAAAAAAAAGTTCTAATCATAAATGGATGTAAATTGGCTGTGGTCCAGAAGAGGTTAAAGTTCTAAAGGAAATTTCCGTAAGTATCCAAACACTTACATATCCTTTCCCTCCCTTCCTCTCTCCCTGTCCCCTCTCGGGTATTTCAACCTTGTAAGTCAGAAATAACAGGGCAACTGATTATCTTTTCTTTCTTTTTTTTTTTAAAACTTTATTTTATGTGCATTGGTGTGAAAGTGTCAGATCCCCTGGAACTGGAGTTATTGACAGTTGTGAGCTGTCATGTAGGTGCTGGGAATTGAACCTGGGTCCTCTGGAAGAGCAGCCAGTGCTCTTAACCACTGAGCCATCTCTTCAGCCCCCTATCTTTTCTAGCTCTGTGTATTACAGGAAAAGATAATGGATAAAATGTAAAGTCATTCATCCAAGGAGATCTGTTGCTCTAACAAATAAGCTATGTCATCAGCTGACAGGTCATTCCCTATTTCCACTCTATCAGTTCAAAAATAATGGACAAAACTTCTATCTGATTCTTGCTCCACCATTTACCAAATTAACCTTTAAAGTTTTATCAGTTATGCAGGCTTATTAATGAAGAATCTCTCTGTGGCCTAAGAATTTATTAGAAGAAAACAAAATAGCTCAATCTTTTGGTCTGTTACAGGTCTTCTGTGAAGATTAGGGTAAGTGGGAGACAAGTGAGAAAACAGCAAAGTTCTCTGTCTGTATAAATAACACTGAAGACAGCACGCAAACTGTTCATCATCAGGTGGTTAATTAGTCAAAACCAACCCCCACCCAGCTTTACTCTGACTCAACGTTCCTAAGATTGATGAGTATCGATGAAAACATCAGAAATAAATTCAAATATCTCTACTGTGGTTTAAGAGGTGGAGATTATCATTCTGCTTTTGTAAAGGCTAAGACTGAGTGTCCAAATGCTAATCCTCTAATAAAACAGAGCACAGAACCAATGCTTAAGTGCTCCTAGTAAATCTTACTGTAAATTTCTATCCTGGGGCCTTTGGTGAGTTCCCATCTTAAAAGGCCCCAAGATTTTAATTTGCTAAACCATGTTTCCCAAGATTTATTCATATTATGGCACATATGGAGCACATAAATATTTTTACAACATAACCAAGGTAAGACATAAAACTGCAGTACCCAACCAGTGGCCCTGAGAAGCAAAAAGATCAGGGTCTAACCAGGCATGGTGGCACACACCTTTCATTCCAGCACTTGAAAGGCAGAAGCATAGATCTCAGTGAGTCTAAGGGCACCTTGGTCTACACAGCCAGTCTAGGCCAATCACGGCTAGCTGGTGAGACCCACATCTCAACATAAAGAAATAAAATCAATGTGTCTATACACCTTGAAGTTTGTCACTAAACCTTCTACCCAACAGAGGAAGTTCTCATTAAACAGGCCAGTCTCAGAATTATCACCTCATAGATGAAAGTACTATCAAGGAACATTGGGATCAAGGACTTCCTGGGTATACTTCATGTTCTAACATGATGATAAATGGAAACATAATAGCAAACCTATAGATACTTTTTTCTTTCTTTTTTAACATTTATTTACTGTATGACTTTATGTATATGGACATGCACATGCCACAATGTATATGTGGAGGGCAGAGAACAACCTGTGCGAGTCAATTCTCTTCTTCCATCATGAGTTCCAGGGATGGAATTCAGGCTGCCAGGCTTTGCACCAAGAACCATTTCATTAACCTACTAAGCCATCTCAGCAGTCCCCTAATAGGATTTTTTCTTTCTTTCTTTCTTTCTTTTTTTAAGACAGGGTTTCTCTGTGTTAAGTCCTGGCTGTCTGGGAACTTGCTTTGTAGACCGGGCTGGCTTCGAACACTTAATAGGATTCTTAATTCAGCTCAACAACAAATTCTGAAACATATAGTAATATTTCTTAGCACAATAAATTCCCTTTTCCATAACTCATAAAATCATATACATAGTGTTTTGGTTAAGCATCTTTAAACTCAAAATAATAAATCTTTGACAGTAGTGACATGATGTCACAATGGTAAAATTTCTTACCCTAAGTTTGTTTCATGTATAAAAATAGTAAAAGTATTATATAAAATTATCTTCAGAGGGATAGAGACACAGCTCAGCAGTTAAGGCCAAGGTTCAGTTCCCAGCATCCATATGGTGGTTCACAACCATCCATAACTCAGTTCCATGGGATCCAATGTCCTTTTCTGACCTCTAAGGCACCAAGCACATACACAGTACAAAATACATACATATATACATGCAGACAAAATACACATCAATAAAACTAGTAAATTTTTAAAAATTATCTTCAGGCTATACATATAAAGTATACATAAAACAAATGAATTTTCTGTTTACACTTGGGTCCCAGGCCTAAGATACCTTATTATGCATATGTTAAAATACTTCTAATACTAGGTATCCTGGATAAGATCAACCCTTTAGCCATAATAAACAAGCTCAGATTTAAATGGCTTCTATGTTAAGTTAAAAATTCAAGCTTGATTGGTATTAAAACATCTACTTGGAGTAGTAAACCTTTGTCCACCATTAAAAAATTAAAGATTATATAATTTAGCTCTGGATCTCAATTAGAATTTTAAAGATACTGGTATCTCAATTACCAAGTATAAATAGGTAGAACATTCAAAACAAATTATTTCATCCAACTTGAAATATGCCAAATGATCCCCCCTTCTTTGTTAAAAATGTTAAATATTTTAATCCTTAATGTTATAGATATAACATTCTCTTTAAAAGGTGTGTGTGTGTAAAACAAAAAGGTTATAAACAATTTTCTCTTGAACTCATTTTCACCTGTACCCTCCTGATATTTCCTAGTACAATCTACATCACTATCAAGAACCCCGTCTTTTCCTATAATACTAACATTTGATACCCATTCAGATTCACAGTACATATACATATACACATAAGAGGGGTTGCTGTTCCATTTTTCCTCCTTTCTAGAAAATTTCATAGCTCAGAATACTCACTTATTTTTTAGAAAGTGTTAGGTCAGTCACATCCACAGAATACAAAGACTCATCCTAGCTGACCTCACTCCACTCCCTCAACTTACCCCCAAGAAACATTTGACTGAGAGTCACTAATCAAGCAAGGAATCAACAAACAAATTCCTTAAAGTCAGCTGAACTTAAAAGAATATAAAACATTCCATTCATGCATTACATTAAAAATAGGAAACATAAAATTATCAAAACAAAAGGGGCTGAGAGTGTAGCTCAGCAGTAGAGCACATGTTTAGTATGTATGTACATGAAGCCTTGGGTTCAATCCCCAGAACCAAATAACAAAAACCCCAAACCCTGGAAGTCAGAGCTAAAATAAGAGAATGAAGAAAAAGCAATAAACATTATACCAAATGAGCTGGGGGTAGGTAGAAAAACCAAAAAAACTAAGCACAGAGTATTCCTACCTCTCTCTTCATCAATTTATCATCTCCAAACCCATAACCATATAGGCATATAACACAAAGATGTTTCCAGAGTACAGACTTTTTTTTTTTTTTTTGTATTTTAAAACAGGGTTTCTCTGTAGCCCTGGCTGTCCTGGAACTCAACTCTGTAGGGCAGGCTGGCCTCCAACTTACAAAGATCTGCCTACCTCCACCTTCTGAGTGCTGGGATTAAAAAGGTGTGTGCCACCACTGCCATTATAGTATAGACTTTTATATGGACATTATAAAACATTGACTTCTTGCTATCACACAATGAAACAAACATTTTTAAGTAGATGTTTACTCAAGCTCTAGTATATGCCATTGATTATTAGAAGACTGCAAAGCCCCTCCATTCTTATTTTAAAGATCTTTCAGTTAGGAATGCAGCTCAATGGCAGAGGGCTTGACTACCACTGCATCAGGTCCTTGATCCAAGTCTGCACGTGTGTGTGCTCACACACCCACTATTTAGATTTCAGAAGAATTCTTTTAAACCATTTATGAAACAGTTCCTTCTCATGTAATCTCATAGCCCCAAGCTTTCCCTTCATAGAATTTACCAAATACGTAATTTAAATGGTTAATATCTATTTTCCACTAAACTGTAAACTTTATGAGGGCAGGGACCATGTTTATTTGTCTCAGCACTATTCTGGACACATAGCATTATTTTCAGAAACATGGTAAATGCTCAAATGTTAGCTCAGTAAATGCAAGAAGGTTCAGTCTCCTTTTTCTTTGAAAAAAAGTTATGATTACTTTCCTCGTAAGGAAACAGTAGTCTTCTTGTAAGATATCATGAAATGAAGTGCTAATTTTCTCCAATCTCCACTCTAAGACATGTTTCTGAGTCCACAATAACTTTTTTAATGATGCGAGTTTCTACTCAGATGAAAATGATTCAGTTTCAGGTAAGACAGGTGAGAAGCTGTTATTAGTTCTAGTGGCTCACAATACAGACACCTTCCTTTAAAGTTGAAGACTTGCCTGAGAATTACAAACAGAAAGGTTCACTTCATTCACAGAAATCATTCCTTCCTCCTAGGCTGGATATATGACTATACACAGACATACACAGGCTCTTTCTACTTCTCTGGCACCTGCTATCTCCTCTCTTCAGTCTCCCTGTTCTTTGTGCCACTGGCTGAAAGATGGAAAAGCAAACAGTCTGACCATCAACGGACTACAATCAAGTAAGAGCTTAACAAAAGAAAATCTAAACAAGCTGCTAGAAACAAAAGCTTAGAAGAAAAGTCTTTGTAAAAATGAGAAAGTAAACCACATAATTAAGATTCCTTCTTGCTTTATAAGCACTGTCAGGAATGTCCAATTGGTGGAAAGAGCAATAGCAACTTAAATTGTTGGTACTTAATCAAACAAGCTAAAAATTGAATCAGTTGAAGCAGCTACCTTACCTATTGAATGAAAATCAGAATGTACTATAATAAATAAATCCAAACTTTCATTTGTGCTATGGTAATATATGACAACTGTAAACTATTTTTTATTTAAATATAGTAATTGGTTGACTAGAGCTCTAAAATCTGAATAAAGCCTTACTTAGTGACAAGAATGGTATATCCCCTCCAAAACAAGTTTATTGTTGTTTATGGACTATAAGTAATCTTCAATTATTTGGTCTCTTAAATTTCTAGTGAACTGCTAACAAAAATAAAACTTGATAAAATCGTTATAACTTTTTTTTCTTTCTTTTTTTTTTTTTGGTTTTTCGAGACAGGGTTTCTCTGTGTAGCTTTGCGCCTTTCCTAGATCTCCCTCTGTAGACCAGGCTGGCCTCGAACTCACAAAGATACACCTGGCTCTGCCTCCCAAGTGCTGGGATTAAAGGCGTGCGCCGCCGCCGCCACCACCGCCCAGCTGATAAAATCTTTATTTGATGATCATTTGAATGGTATTACTGTCCACTTAAACAATATTATCTTTTCACTACATTTAATTATCTAAAATATTTTTATTAAGCATCAAGATGACTCTTCAGAGCTGTAAGTTCCATATGGAAGTTGAAGTGGTTTTAGGAGGAAATATGTTTAAATCAAAAGGTGGGTGCCATTTATGGTTAATAAATAATGGTTCTTGCACTAAGCATTTGCCTGTGAATAATGAACTTTTCTTGGCTGTTTGGGTGATCTTTAAGAGGATAAAAAGGGTTTTCTAAGTAGGGAATGGCGGCATATACCAGAAGTCCCAGCAGTCAGAAGACTATAAAGCAAGAACATCTTTAGTTTGGAGTTTAGTGTGGGCTACACAGTATGAACTGTGTCCAAAATAAAAACCATTTTCTCCAATATAACCTCCCTTAAAATCCTTCAGAATGTTCCAACTATTATTATTCTACCCTTTACTCTTCTCTACTTTCAAACATCTACTGACTCCTTAATAAAGAAAAACCCTAAACTGAAAGCTTAAATTTGGTTCCAAGATGCACACCTTGATACTTTCCAAATAAGCCTTTGTGCAAATTTTGCTATCTGCTATAATTCCAGCAGTGTGCCTTCTGTGACCAGGTCTACTTACCATTTACAATCTGACTAAATCAATATTCAATGGAACAACTTTCCCAACTTGTGGAAGGAATTTCATCTAACTTCCTTTACAGTGCTGGAGACTGAGCCCTTGGCAGCATAGGCAATCACACTACCACTAAGCTACTTCTCCAACTCCCTGTCTAGTTTTAAACTGAGCACTCTAGGAACTCACATTTCAATTTTCTCTAGTTTGAAAGATCAACTGACAATATGTTACATAACTACTTTCCAGGAATCTATAACATAGGACTACCACCCCAAATACATACGAAGTTTAAGAAAAGCACAATATTCATTGAATATTTCCCCTTTTCCTCAATAGAGTCCTATGGGACAAAAAATACATAAATAATTGTGTGTATGGGTACAGGAAAAACTCAGTATGTCAACATCTAATAATGTAACTGTCAACACAATGTGTACTTAATTTTTTCTTTTAAATTTTCAGACAGGTTCTCAGGAAATTGCCCATCTTGGTCAATATCATGAATTTACGGAATTTTAATTCTGTACGTAGCCCATGCAGCCCTCAATTTTGCCTCAGCCTCCTGAGTAGCTTGAATTACAGACACACACACCAGTTTTCAGCTAGCTGGCACTTTTTGTATAAAGTATCTAATTTCATATATTTATTTATATGGTCTTTTGTGACAGGATCTCATGTATAGCTCAGGCTAGCCTGAAACACTAGTAGCTAAGGATGATCCTGAACTTCTGAACCTCCTACTTCTATCTCCCTGGTGCTGGGACTACAGGCATGTGCCACCATGCCTGGCCTAATATTTTTTAGGGAGGTGGGCTAGGATGGGGGAGAGGACAGGGTTTCTCTGCACAGCCCTGGCTATCCTGGAACTTACTCTATAGACCAGGCTGACCTTGAACTCAGAGATCCACCTGCTGGGATTAAAGGCCCAGCTGCCTAGCCTAATCTAATCTTAATCTTCATACAACCTTTTGGAGCTTTATCTGTAGTGCCCATTTTCCAAATGAGTATTAAAAATCAAAGAAACCCAATATTCAGTAAACAGTGAAGTCACAGCTCAAACAATCAACACAAAACCTCCCCATTCTTCCTTTATATTACCTTTACTTCTTGACAAGTACCAACAAAATATAAAAACCAACTTCACTGAAATAGCTATAAATTTGTTTTAGCTCAACGATGACCTAAAACTATACTAAGAGTAAACCCACTTCCTAAAATTAAAACCACAACCATTATCAGAGATTACCTGCTACAGTGTAACAACAATGCAGCTTCCAGAAGATGACAAGTGAATAAATGAATAGCTTTAATAATTTTCTAGTCTCCCAGTGGCAAATTCCCTTGAGCCATAGGCTAAATCCATTTTGTCACAAATATTCACTCATGTTGACTCACATTTAACACTTGTGTTCTTAAAAACAACAACGAAAAATTACCAAGTTACATGGACTCAGCTTTTAGAATGTTTAATGTTTTATTACTAGGGGAAAAACTAGCATTGCCTAGAATCACTAAGGAATACAGGACAAGTCATTTTTTTAAAAGATGAACCTCTCAGGGCTGGAGGTTAAGACCTCTGGCTGCTCTTTCAGAGGACTGAAGTTCAATTCCCAGCACCCACATGGAAGTTTATAACCATCTATTTGTAACTCCAGTCGCAGGAAATCTGATTCATCTTTCTGGCTTCCTTAGGCATCAGACACACATGTGGTAAACAGAAATAAATGAAGACAAAAAACAACAACAGCAAAAACAAACAAACAAACAAACAAACAAAGCCAGACACGAATCCCTAGAAAACATATTAAAAACAAAACAGAAGGACAAACCTATGGTAGTACCTGAAATTCCTATACGCTGACCTAGGAGGATCATCCTGAGTTCCAGGCCAGCCTGAGACTCCCGTACACTGATCCACTCCAGCAGAAGTTATTGTCCTGTGGTGGTATTTTATTTGTACTGAAATGTGATTTTAATTGTATGTTAATAAATAAAGTTGTCTGGGGGTCAGAGCTATTAGAGCCATAGCAAGTGCGTGACGGCGGTGGCGCACGCCTTTTAAGGACCTGGAGGGCGGTACATTCAGGCAGTGACGAGGCAGTCACATGTTTGGGTTTACAACCAATGAGAAGGCAGAACAGCTAGACTACATAAAGACATACACACAGGAAGTAGGCCCCTTTTTTCGGAGAGCTCTCTTGGCTGGAGAGGATCCCTGAAGCAGGAAGGGTGAGGCTCTTAGCTCTGACCTCTTGGCTTTTTTCTCTGAATCGGCTCTGTGTTTCTTATTTAATAAGACCATTGGTTACATCTACATTGTCCTATAAAATCTTTCGGTACAAAACAGTCAGAAGTGAGAACTTAGTAGCAGGGTGTGGTGATACAGTGCCTACAACCTCCGCATTCAGAAGGACGAGGCGGGACTGTTAATCGCTTGAGACTAGCCTTGATTTTATAGCAAGACCTTGTCTAGAAAACAAAACAAAGGCCCAAGACTACACTACAAAACCCTAAACTTTAGTGAGAACTCTTTAGGGATGGATGTCGAGAGTGAACTAGGATCAGAGTGACTGTCTGGGCTGCTCAGAAGGGGGTTCCCTAGATTTTTAAAGATTTATTTATTTTCATGTCTATGAGTGTCCTACCTACATATGTCTGTTCACCATGTGTACGCAGTGCCCATGGAGGCCAGAAGAGGGCAACGGATCCCTTGGGACTGGGTTGTGAGCTGCCATGTGGGTGTTGAGAATGGAACTTGGATCCTTTGAAAGAACAGCAAATATTCTTAACTACTGAACCATCTCTCCAGCCTGATGAGATCTTGGATTTTTCATTTTAAAACCAGGACAAACTGACTATTCTTAAGGAATAGATGCACCTGGATGCTTGACAGCAAGCAGTACAACAAACTTTCTAGCCATCTTCCTGCTCTAGCTTCTCCCTAAAAAAAAAAAAATCACAGCTTCAGTTGTTTCTACCTTATACAAGCCCCAGCTAGCATAATAAAAACTAATGAGTCATATAATATTTTTAAAAATAACCCAATTTCAGGCATGAACTAAGGACACATTTAATAAGAGTTTATTTTTCCCACTGACAAACTTCTTTTTCCAGACAGAATCTCACTATGTAGTCCAAGCTGGCTTGAATCTCATAATCCTCCAACCTTATCCTCCAAGAGTTGGAATTATAGTCACATGCCACCATACTTGACCAACTTTTACAGCATACTATTTTTACAGCTGACAAATCTACAATCTAGACAGAAACAAAGCCAAAGCGTGCTCCTCTTGGTTCTGCACAACTAACACATGTTCTTTAGTGGGGAAAGGTCAGTCTTTTCCTCTAATGGTGTGTAATAATATATCCTTTAATATCATTTTTAAAAGTGAAAGCTCACAATGTCTTTCTTTCCATCTCAAAGCTAGTCAGATGTTAATGTTATTTAAACACACCAAGCTGTAAATCATAGGAGTCTGCATTATCAAGTATACCAACTTCATGACTAAATTCTACAGCTGTCTAGTAAAGTCCTCCGAAGCTACAGCAATAGGATGATGACTCACCAATTGGCAGGTGTCTTAAAATCTACAAACAATACGTCCGAGCCTGGATGAGAACATATGCGTATGTCCCAAGAGAGGAACTCATCCTTTAGCTAAAAGAGAAAAAGAGGCTAAGAACTGGTCAGGAGAACAGAACTTGTTTTACAATGGAAAAAAGAGGCCGGGCGGTGGTGGCGCACGCCTTTAATCCCAGCACTCGGGAGGCAGAGCCAGGCGGATCTCTGTGAGTTCGAGGCCAGCCTGGACTACCAAGTGAGTTCCAGGAAAGGCGCAAAGCTACACAGAGAAACCCTGTCTCGAAAAACCAAAAAAAAAAAAAAAAAAAAAAAAAAAAAAAAAAAAAAAAAAGAACTGGACCTCTACAAAGAGACATAATCCATGCACATTTTTACAATGCCCCCATACATATTCTATATTTCACTTTTCACTTACCAGAAAGGTGTTAACAGAATAGGATTAAAAAAAAAATCAATATTGTGACTCCCCTTGAGTAAAAACTGACAGTGATAATTCTACTGAGTTCATTCCTTTAAGAAATGTGAAGTCAGAGTCACTAGAAAAATAAATCCATATTTAAACCCTCATTATGTTTAATGACTTGATGTCAGTTTCCTTTCAAGTGAAAATTAGTAGTTCCTATTTGAGAATACTTTACCATTCACTCTTATGTGGAAACTGATACCAGGCCATAGTTGGTAAGATATGGGTTTATAATATGGAATTAAAAGAAACTTACCCTTTCCCTCTGTGCAGCTCTGACTTTCAACCCAGTTTCTATAGAAACAGGAGGACAATGCCAGTGCCAGAAGTCTGGCAATTAGAACTCATCTTTTAGTTGCTGAGTAATAAAGCCATATCCAAAAGTCAGCTATAGGTTTTGTCAGTAGTTCCTAAAAAGAAACCCAGGAGGAAAAAAAAAAGATGTTTAACCAATTACTGTACTTTTAAGGCTACCTTTAAACTTGGCAACTAAAAAAGTAAGGAGAGGGATTCAACATTGTTTAAAAAAGTTTATGTATGTATGCACTTCAGTCATCCCTAAAGAAAAACAAACAAAACAAGGGTATCTCAAAACAACAAACAACCTACAACAAAATCCCTGATCCATTTAATTCTCCACTAAAAACCAATCTCTAAGACTAAATCAACCTATAATACCATAAATCTATCTAGATCAAAAGTAGTTTCTTAAACTTTTACGTGTTTGTACATGGTGTCAGGGCTCAAACCCAGTGCCTCCCACATGCTAGGCAAGCATCAGCCAAATTTTAATGTACTCATGAGTTACCTGCAGATCTCCACCCCATCTACCAGGTCTGAGGTGAGGCGTTACAATTCTATATTTCTAACACTCTTCCAAGGGACACTAATGTAATGCTATTGGGCTGTGACCACACTTTTGGCAGTTAGAGAGCCTAAAAGTTAAACAATATACATACTGTACTGAACCATAGTTATACTGAATTTTTTTATTTTTGTTTTCTAACAATTCTTAAAAAGTTTGTATTTCTGAGTATGTATAAACTTTGTCTCTAGAGCAGTGGCTCTCAATGCTGGCAGCACAGTAAAATCACCCACACACTTAAAAGGAGGCTTTGCAGAGTCATTCTATCTACCCCAATTCAAATCAATCTGAGAAAGAACCTTAGCTGTTGGAATTAAAATTCCCAAAGTTCCTGAGGGGTTCTTACATATAATCAGGGTAAAGAACTCTGCTACAGGATACAGAAAAAAAAAAAATTTAAAAAAATTAAGGGGTACAGCTTACTGGTGTGTTTCTATAAACAAAGATATGATGGCATATCCCAGCACTTGGGAGGTAAAGACATGAAGAGAGAAGTTCCAAGTCACCCTTGGCTACATGGAGAGTTCCAGGCCAGCCTGGGCTACAAGGGACATTGCCTAAAACAAACAAATAATTTTACACTGAACTATAAGATACTCATTTTGGGAGACAAGTAAAACTATTAGTATTCAATTTCTACATATTAAAATGCAATTATATGGGATACTGATTTTTCAATATGCACTAAAATATGTAATAAAAATACATAGCACCTCATTGTTAACAATAGAACTATCATAAGCAAAATTTAACATAGGTGCACTAACAGGCTCATCTATAAAAAAAAAAATCATTAAGTCCTTTTCCTGGGTAAAAAGAAAATTCACTGGTTACCTGAGAAATCATACAATAGATTTACACAATTTATACAATTAAAAAATCTGTTTTGCATAGATGACACCCATTTAATAGAAAGACTCTGAGGTTTTTTTTTCTTTTTTGTTTTAGAGATAGTCTCATTACATATTCCTGGAAGGCCTGGAACTTGCTACGTAGACCAGGCTGGCACCAAACTTAGAGATCCACCTGCCTCTGCCTCTGGAGTGCAAGGACTAAAGGTGTGTACTACCATTCCAACTAGACCCTTTAAATTTTAGGATGAAAATTTAGTTTGATACCATTAAAAAATTGCAAGTTATGAAATACAGAAAGCATATTTCAGAAACTATGTATAAATACAATGAAAATTGCGATGACAATTTAATAAAACAGAAACACTATCAAGCAGCAAATGATGATGTTGCACCAGGGGGAAAACCATTCTAAAAGCACAGGGTGGTCGGCAGTTAAAAGCCATAAGAAATAAAACCTTAAAAAAAAAAAAAAAAAAAAAAAAAAAAAAAAAAAAAAAAAGGAAGAAAACCTGTATGACTATAAAGAAAATTAAGTGAAACTTCAATGGTAGCACATACTTAAGCATGGGAGAAGCCTTGGTCCGATTTCCACAAAATAAAGGCACTTGCTATGAAAGTCCAGCAACCTGAGTTCAGTCATAAGATTCCACATGAAGGTAGACAAAGAAAAACAACTCCACAAAATTGTCCTCTCACCTTCACATGTATGTCTACACACACATACTATACACACACACACACACATTTTTATGTGATGGATGTTCTGTGCTTATGTCTGTGCCTTGTACAAGAGGCCAGAAGAGGGCAGCAGATCCCCTGGAACTGGAGTTACAGATAGCTGTGAGCTACGTGGGTGCTGGGAATGGAAGCTGTGTCCTCTAGAAGATCAACCAGTGCTCTTAACCATTGAGCTTTCCCAATTTTAAAAACAAAAAACAAACAAACAACCAAAAAAAAAAAAAAAAGTAAACAAACCCAAAAAGAATGTAATCATAATCTTTATAGAGAATCTGAAATGCTAATTTCCCTTTTCATGCGGGCACATGCGCGCAGGCCCACACACACAGAACTGCTTTCAATTCTTAGACTTCAGTCGTATTACTTTCATATTAATACCTGTAACTCAAGGATCCCTCAATAAGTTTGTTATGTTTCACTTAGCCAAGACATATAACTTTTCTGGTGTCACTTTAGCATTTCTTCCCGTGCGTGTGCGTGTGCGTGTGTGTGTGTTGGGTTTAGTGTCTGGGGACCAAACCCAGGGCCTTATGCACTCTATGGCAAGTGCTCAGCCACTGGACTACATCCCCAATCCTTGTTGATGAGGCAAAATTAAATACTAAGCAAGAATGAGTACCTTGAAGAAATAAGAGATTATAAACTGCTACTTTATGATAATTTTCTCCTGCTGTTTCATTTTGAAACAGGGTTCTGCCATGCAATATTGCAGAAAGGCCTTGAACTCTATCCTGCCTCCCAAGAGCTGAGATTAGAGGCATGTGCCATAGTATTTAGGACTTAGGTAGTAACTTTAAGTTGGAGTATTTAGTTCTGTTTTGTTTATTCCAACAATTGCTTATCTTCTGGAAGCTCCTCTTCTCCACTCTGAAACAGAACATTTTTTTAATCTCCTACCTATACTTCTTTTCAAGTACCATCTTCTTTTCTCATTCATCAAACATATAACCCTTGGTTTATACCTCAGCACTCTACACTCTCAGTACAGTGTTATTCGACACACAGCCCATTGACCAGAGAACAAAACATAGCAGAATTATCTGAGAAACATGTAAAGGAACAAACTTCCAGACCATGCTGGTCCCAACAAATCTCAAAGTAGAAAGAATAGAGGAGACGCAAAGAGTCTATTTCACAGACAATGCAAATATTAGTAGAGTATCATTTGTAATTAATTGCCCACACATTTTCTCAAATTTCAGCTTTAATCCTATCCATGGCCTCTAGGGGAAAAAAAGTAGCAAGGCAAAATTAATTATCTTGAGAACCCTATAAGGACAAAGACCTGGTTAGAACCCTGGGTCCACAGTATCAAATTAGATAGAATGTAGATAGAAAACTTAAATGAGGCAATGTGTACACAGCACTCTGCAGAATGCTTGGTGTGAAGTATTTATATTTAGTAATTGGCTGCTGTCAATAAGCTACAACTGAAGATCCATCTCCACTCCCACCTCCTCAAATTTGTTTGCTCTCTGGGATTTCCTATTTCTGTTGACCCAATCATCATACTACTTTTCCTGTATTCTTATTCATGTGTGTCTGCCTGACCTGTCCATCACAAACTCCCTCTACCATTCTACATCCTCTTTTAACTCTTTGTTAAGCTTTTCTTAACCACCCCAACTTCAGAAACCTATTCATACTGTCATATCCATTACCACCTGCAAAAAAAAAAAAATCCTTAGCAACTGATCTGTTACATCTTTCCTGTTATCTTAAACACTACTAAACTTTTCCCTGATGGTTGACTATTTATCTCTTTATACCTCATTCCTTAATTAGTGAATAAACTGTTACAGTGGTAGAAACTACCTGATACTTTCTCATTCCCTACTCTCAGAATCTTGGTTCCTAATATATAGCCAATATTCAAACTATTAAAAAACTTCAGCTGGAAAATGATTATAGTCACTTGAGCTGAAGCATAGTAAGTACTTTAAGTTCAGAACCTTTTTCTCCTGCCAAGATTGAGCTTGTCTGAGGTTTGAAGATACTGTCATTCAATACATTTCTGTTAAGAATTTAAAAGTAGGAGGCTGTTAAGAGCACTGACCTCTTCCAGAGGACTGCGTTTCAATTCCCAGTGCCCCCACGGCAGCTCACAACTGTCCATAACTTTAGTTCTAGGGGACCCAACACCCTAACACAGACATACATGCAGGCAAAAACACCAAGGGACATAAAATAAAAAGGAATTAAAAAAAGAATTTAAACTAGATCCAAGTTATTAATTAGATGCTGTGAAGCCAGATATGGTGTCATGTGCCTGTAATCTTAACACTAGAGGAGCAGAGGCAGGAAGACCTTGAGTTTAGACCAGTCTGGGCTTCACAAGCAAGAAGACTATCTCAAAAAGGCCCAAGTAAACACAAAGCTTGTAACCAACCGATTTAAGCTATGGAAATAGCAATTTATAAAATCTAGGTTGTTTTACTTAAGGCAATACTTATTTTCAATTTTAATCATCATTGCTGAGCTTTTAATAATGAACTCAAACTAATTCAGAGATTTCTCAGAACAATATGCTACATCTAAATTATTCTAAAGATACTGGGAAACCACACAAATAAATTCAAAGAGCAGTTTCTACATTTTAAAATCAGAACATTCCATCAGTTAATTGTCCTTCAGTGTAGATAAGAATAATTTCATGAATACCATAGTTTCAAAACAGTGTTATGTTCCCATTTTGCATATGGTTTTATATAATACATTAAATGCTGACTTGAAACACTTTTCCCTCATTCTTGAGATGAAGTCTGAGACTTCAGAAAGTTAAACGTATAAATGCATAAGCAATGCAATATAATCTTCCTAAATAGCCACAGTTATTTAAAATATTTGACTACTGATTGATAAACTACTTAAAAGACTAGCAAAAGAAAATACAACGAAAAATGGCATTCCAACAAGTATAAACTGTTTAGATATGCAAGGCGAGCTCAATTAGCAAAGCCTAAAGTAAAGCACCTCACAAGCAAACTTGGGTTAAAAACACTTCTAAATAATACACCAAGAACCTGAAAAGGCCTGGTTTTCTTCATTTTTGTCCTTCTCACTGTTTCAGTGTTTTAAGCAGTTTTTTGTTTTTGTTTTTTTAAATCCAGTATTTAAGCTGTGCAGCTAAACCATCCATGGAGCCCAAACCAACCTATTGGGGAAAATAAGCCAGTACAGACAAGCTACTATAGTTACCAGTCCCTAAATCTTATGGGAAAAGTTATGAACAATTCTATTCAAAATTTCTGATCTCATTTAAAGCAAAGTGAGGAAGTTGTATGACATACAAAGAAAGCTGTGCTTGCCCACATTTGATTAATGTGCACAGAGGACCCTCAGGCTACTAGGATAACTGGACAATGAAAATGGCTAAGACTTTTTAACACTGCCTATTCATTTCCCTCAAGGTACGGTTGCCTCAATTTCATAATCTCTTTGAGGGACAAGAAAAAAAAAAATACAAAACCATTTGGATAAAGTATCTGTAATTCCCAATTTAAAAAAAAATCCTTGAGTGTTTTGATAGCCATAAGTCCTCTTGCACCATTAATCACAATAAAAGGTGAACACCAAGGTTAATGGCAAATGCCAAAAATTTAAAAGACACCAAGGCTCAAGTGCATATTCAAAATGTTAACACTTTGGCTCCCACATTAAAATATTTTTCAGATGATAAAACAGACTCAAAAATAAAATACAAAATAATTATCAAGAACAAAGTTGCAGTATTTTGCAAACACCTAAGTGAGGGGAAGATGCTTGTTAACAGCAACAGTATCTAGAGACTTCCAAGCAGAGAAACATAACCAAAGCATTAAATGCCCTCACCCTAAGAATTGTATTTTTGACTTCTAAAAACCCTCTTACCTGTTTACAAGTTTATACAGCTGTTTACCACTGGAACACCACCTTGCAGAGTATAACCGTGGCATCCTTGGTTGATAATCACCTGTTGCCTAGCAATCATCATCCCGCATGGAGACAAGACAGCACTAGGGCTCTTCCATCCGAGGTTAAAATTCAAAACAAGCCCAAACAAGCCTGCATGTCAAGGTGGTCTTCGTCTGCAACTAGTTAAGTTTAAAACTGGCAAACAACCATGGTATCTGAAGCCAAAGGTGCAGAATTGCTGGCTTCCTCTTGAACTCCAGCGTTGTCACTGTGCACTGAAGTATTCTGCTGCAAACTGGAGTTTTTCTCCTGTACTGGGAACAGGCTTCCAAAGCTCAAGAGCCCCTGTACAGGATAATGCAGGAACTAAAGGCAAACACTTTCTCCTCCTTAAGGATGCCTCCATTTTTTTTCCTCACAATCTGTACTACCAACCGAAGTGACTGGGCCTGAGTGTGCGTTCGTACCTATGAAACCGTCACGATGCATGCACATCCAAGGCATGTGGAACCACAGGTCAAATAAGGCACAGATACCAAGTAACGGTTCTAATTACAAACGCTAGCTCTCAGGAACTCTTCATCCATTCAGAACTAAACCCATCACTGCATAACTTTGGTAAGAAGCCCCTGGAGACGGAGGAGCTCCTCAAATGTGTCAGGAAAGGCTTTATTAACATCATCATTAATATTTAAAAAGCAACCGGAGCATTTCTCCTTCTTTTGGCAATTTGGTGCAAATGTTAAAAGTGCAAGATAATGCAATTTCAAACTTTTCTTCAAATTAAAAAATGAAACTAAAGCCAAACGTGATGGGTGAACAAAATAAATCAAAACTTAAATTTCAGGAACTCCGGCTCTTCAAACCAGCAAAGCCCCCGACTCGTGCACTGTGGTGAGACTTAGGGTGCTTGCCCCGGCTTCTTGCACGCCAGCAAACAGCACCCTCATCGTGTTGAGGACCGAGAAGCAAAGGATCCCCTTCACTGCAAACAAAGGGGGTCACTGTAACACTATGATCCTTCAGAATTGACACACCGTGATAGTCAAAATGAAATTGATGGTCTCCCTGCTTCTTGCTCAAAACATACAAGATCTGAGCAGCAGCAAGTACCCCCTCCGCTGCAAACAAAGGGGTCAAGGTTTGCCGTCAATTCACTTCCAGGCAGAAAAACATTTTCCTCAAAAGAAACAATTTATTTAGAATAAAACAAAAGCAGCTCAACTGTGAGCCCATGTTTGAGTGACAGCTACTTTTAAGCTGTGTGAGCCATAAAAAGGGTTTTCCTTTACTTTTCCAGAAATCTTGTGTACACAGCACAAAGCAAAGAGGTCATTTTTCCACTTAAAACACCGGCATTGGCATCACAATAGCAGATACACAATGTTAAGCTGCCATTTTAGTAAAATGCACAAAATACTAAACAGATTAGCTTTCTTCCATCAGAGGCCCATGTAAACTCCACATAAGCCACAACTTCTCTTCAAAAAGGTCCATTAGAGCTTTGAATTCCGTATCTTCATCCGCTGTTCACCAGTTTTGCTTGCGGGAGGGGGAAAAAAAGGTTATTCAGTACAAACGTTTACAGTATTAAAAATATATATATTTCCCCTATGCCATTATAGATGAACATAGTATTAACAAGACCTTCCTGGATAGTCCACTTTAACTTCAAAAAGCACCAATAATATCCACTGGCACAATCCTTGAAATGAATTCACTACATGAATACACAAACAACAAGTAGAACAATAGAATCTGATTTGTATTTTTTTAAGACTGTCATCAAGGATTATAGGACTGAAAATATCCTTTATCCTCAAAAAACTGACTAAATGCATGGCCAAATGTTCAGGAAAAAGCAAATTTATGACCAACTTATAATTAACCAACATCTCCTAAATATAACTAAAAAAGTGTAACAATAGAAAGATGGAATTTAGACAAACTTTCAATCCCTCTATGCTTATTTTGCAATTTATATGGAGACAAAGACTCCATGGCTGTAGAAAGGGGTCAAAGCTACAAAGCCATTTACAAACCACCTTTATCTATGTCACCAAAGACAGGTGTTACTTTCTGTTAAGAACACACACATCCAATGTGCTAAACAGTCAGAAAACTTCAGTACTCATACTTTTCATTTCTATTCAAATTATACACATAAGAACTCTTCATCAAACTTAACATTTTACTGTAGTTACCTGAAATCATTTCCCACCGTTAAGGATATCATTCTAACTAGAAAGTTAACAGGGCTTAATCTGGTTTTTGTTCTCATACCTTTCTCTTATTTCAAAAATCAGACTTTGTGACAAACACGGGGGAAAAAAAAAAGTCCAGAAATTGTCTCCATTTTTTTCCCCTGACATAAGTCATTAAGGCCCTCTTCCATAGATCTCATAATTCTGTTACTACTGAAGTTTTAGTAAATGGTTCTTATATGAACACAAACTACAGTTCAAGCTGTGCCTGCAAAATGAGCAATTTTACCAGCCAAAAAAAAAAAAACAAAACAAAAAACCCTTAATTGAAAAAAAAAGGAAAAAGTAGTCAGTGAACATAGTTTTTAAATAAATCTGGAAATGTCTGACTCTGAAAAACCTTTTACTGCTTTGTAGCAAATGATCTAAGTGAGTCAGTCACAAAGAAAGAATATAACCTTCAAAATATAACAAAAGCTTATGTAAGCCAGAGGATGTACATTTTAAGAGGTTAATTCTAAAAGGAAAATTATCTTCAGTTTGATAGTGTATAAGTACACATTAAAAATTTAGGTTTCAAAAAAAAAAAAAAAAAATTTAGGTTTCTGTATGAAAAATTCTTTACAGGAGGAATCCCTATTACAACCAGCAAAATACTACTCCACAATTAAGTAGAACCATTTGCTAGAAGCTGAGTGATTGCTTAACTTTCCATAAACTTTGAAGCTGTGATCATAAAGTCTTAATCTTATTTTTACCAGTATATTTAATACATAAATAGCATACTTAAGAAATTTTCTTTCCATTCATTTTAGTTTCTGGAAGAAAAAAAGTTAAAGTACTAAAGTTATTAAAGAAAAAAAAAGGGGAGGGGAAATGGGCTGTTAAAATGAGTATCCAGAGAGGCCAAAAGAGGGTGTTGGGTCCCCCTGGGACTAGGTGCTGGGAACCTAACCTGAGTCCTCTGGAAGAGCAGCCTGCATGTGGTACACAGACATACATGCAGGCAAAACACCCATATGTATAAAATGTTTTAAAAATTTTTAAAGAATATCCAGTATGGGATTCTGATACAGCTAATGATATTTAGAAACAGTTTTAGACTGCTTTCAATCAAATTCTGAAGGTTTAAGTGGTTAATTGACAGATAATATGAACCTGCGTAAGAGTGGGCAACACAAATATGATGGCACTTTGTAGGTAAGCACCAAACTAATTTACATAATACACAGATTTGGAAATGGCATCAAGCCATTGTTTAAAAAACACTGAAGTACTAAATGATCAGATCTAACAAAAGGTAGCAGTGTCAGTTAAGGGTTCAAACATGGAGCAAAAATCAGTACTCTTCAATAAGATGTTAACAACAATGTTCTTAAAAAAGGAAAACCATCACACCACATTTGATTAATAGTAAAATTAGATGTCACAGACTTCACTCTCTAACAGCAAAATCACTTGCCCAACTATCTTACAAAAAAACCTAAAAGATTAATGGCTATAAAATTATTTAAACTGGAAAAATCTATCTACCTAACTAAAAACTTTACTTAAACCCCATGTACACAAACTACACTTGCATCAGCTTCTGACTAGATGTCTAGTTCATGCCAACTACTGTTTTTGGAAACAAAAGACACCCAAAGTCTTAGTTGTAGATTTCAGGTATTTTTCCTATAGGCATACCAAGAACCTTTGTGCTCATAAGCCTAGTACATTCTTTTTCTCAAAAGCCTCCGGATTAAAATAAAAATTATAAATACATAGTGAAAAAACAAAAGTATGATGTAGTAGATGATGTGGCTCTCGGACTGACATGAATTACACACCTGTCACAATGAAAAATTAAAATTATGTAACATTTCTCTGGGTTATTATTGATGCTATTTCAAATCTACCAGCTTTGATAACAGAAAGAAAACAGTTGAGCTCTGCAAGGCTTTGAATAAGTCACTTTCACAGAATAGAAAAACAACCATGATCCAAAAACTCAAGTTCTTAATCATAACTAAATACTGGGCCCTACTTGAAATCCTCAGTACTTATATTGAGGAAGAAAATCATACTTAATAATGGCCTTAGAAATCACAAGTAGTGGCAAAAGAGCACATAAAGCAAACAAAAAATACCACTATAAAAGTAACCAAAGCCCTTATTAAGGATCAGATGTCATATCATCCTTAGCTTTTTATTTTGGGTGAGGGGGTGCAGGTTCTGTGCAGGTAAGTTAAATTATTTTAATTACAGGTACCTGGGAAATCAAAATAAAAAAGGATTTTTCTAACACTGACATTTCAAACCTCTATAGCCAGACAGCAGTCAAAATATTAAACACTAAATTTCAAAGATATTCAAAACACTGTCAACAATGTAATACCACTACTCCTGTTTGAATATGAAAATAAAAATTGAAGGAATTTTCTTTAAATATATCAAGGGCATTTTACAGTAGCCTTTAAAAAAATTCTGTAATTTAGATGTTTGATTAATGTCTAAGGGGAAAAAAAAAGGAATACATACAAGCCTGCAGACAACTCTTCTTTCTATTACTGAAACCAGAAATTTCTTAAATGGATACAAAAAACTTCATTTTTGCTTTTGAAGTATACACAATTAGAACTGTATTTGCTACACCTCTCAAAGTCAAGAAAAACACCACTGTGCACCTTACCAAAAAATTCTCATTTTAAAAGCACTTACTCATTTCTTGCAGACCAGCTTAAGATATAAATGGTTTGTAACCAAGCCTCAATTTTTACCAATTACTGCTACAAACACAGGATACAAAACTCAAAAACTAATGATATGTTAAAGCAAACTTTCTGGGAATAAACTATTTAAAGAAAAATACTCAAATACCTGATTAAAATAATTGAACTTTGCAAAAATAATTGAACTTTGCAATACTTGATCAATGCTTCTAGTACAGAAATTATCTATGCACCAATCAACTATTTTTTCAGTACAGAAGGTTCTTTTCTCCAAATTATGATTCTAAAAATTGTGGGTTTTATTATTTTGAGGATTTTTTAAACTGAAGACTGAAAAAGAAAAAAAAAAAAACCTGAAGAAAAAGAAAAGTAACTCCTAATTAAAGCAAATCCATCTTCTTGCTACTTTCCGGGAATCCCTTTCACTTAAAATAATAGCTAAATTGCCCCAATATCTATTTTAAGGAGATTTACAAAAATATAGATATAAAAAAATCAACTAAACTAATTGAAAGAAATTTATCTGATGCTGTATCCCATTACATATCACAAAACAAGGAACCATGTCAAAGTAGTAAATACAAGTTACACATGGACTTTAGGACGCACCACGGACAATGATCATGACCAGGTAATCTTCTTCAGATTTGGCCAGTGCCTTGGCAGGGGAATCCAGGAACTGCTGAGAGAACTCACAAGGTGGGAAGGCATGAAGAACCCCGGTGTTTTCCTTGTCTTTGTTGCCTCCCACAGGGAGGCTGATCACCCCAGCTGCCTGCTTTTGCTTTAAATAGGACACAAGGTTCCTAAGTGGCCTCTGAGTAGAGGTGGCAGTGTCTGATGTGGCTGAGGAAGAGGAGGATCGGCTGTCAGAACTTCCAGGTACAGCCAGAAGTATGGCATAACCATTGGGCCCTGCCACTTTGATGCGACGAGTTACTTCATCCAACTTGGGCTGGTCCAAACGGAGACGCTGAGTGATCTTGAGCTGGGCTACTTTGCCTCCAGTTGAACCCTCTACAAGTAGACTGCTAGCAACTTGGAGGTCACCCTGCAATAGATGCATGTTGGAAGGGAAGTTGCTGTTCTTCAGTAGAAGCATGCCCTGCCAAGCCAAACAGAGTTTGGGAGAGGATGCCACCACAGGAGCTGTCCCTCCGTCCTGTTTCTGGGAAGGAGGTTTCTGTTTTGATGAAGAAGTGCTGGCACTGGGGGCATTGCCATCAGACCGTTCTTCCTTTTTCAGAGGGTTTTTTCCCTCTGTAGGAGCAGCTGTCCGGTGCTTCCTATCCCGTTCAGCTGATGCAGAGTTTTTACGGTCTCGCTTGTCACTCTGGCTCTTCTCCAAACTGCCCCGTCTATCTCTGATTGGAGAGGGCCTTTCCAAAAGAAGACGGGAGGATCGATCATTGTCACTGTTGTAGCGATCTCTGTTACTGCTCAGTTCTGGACTTCGGTCAGGAGTGGGAGTGCAGTGACGTTTTCGTGGCCGGTCACTCTCAGGTGATCTATCCAGATGCCGTCCTCCACTTTCCTCAGGCAGCCTTCGCTTCCTTGGCTGGTCCCTGCTGCTGGGCAAATCCCGATCACCTCTGTCCCTGTCCAATGACCAGCCATCCCTCCTTCGATCCAAGCTATCCAGTGGCTCATAAGCAGTCACAGCACTAGCTGCAGCACGAGCACTGCGTTCTCGAACTGGTGGTGGGGGTGGCACCCAATCGGAATCAGTGTAAAGGTCCCTATCTCGATCTCTGTATAGTAAGGGTGGTGTCCTATCCCGAGCACTCCTCAAAGGGTCAGGTGCTCGATGTCCAAAAGTATCTGTCACTAGTTCATAATGAGTCAAGGGCAGAGGCTGAAGATATTGCTGCTGATAACGATGTTCTGTGTCTGCAAAGTCTACTCTAAGGCGACGATCTGGGCCACCAAGTGGGAATCCACGCATATGGGTCCAGGCAGCATGAGCTGCATCCAAGCTTTCATACTGTATATATGCCCAACTATCACCTTTTCGGTAGTCTATGGTTCGTATGGTGCCAAATCGATCAAATTCTCGTGCCAGGGCAGCAAGAGGCACCCAAGGTCCCAGGCCACCCACCCAAAGTCGGGTAGTGGGTGTGGCTTTACCATAACCAATCTTGATTGGATTCCGAATTATAATTTTGCCAGACATTGCTAGTTTGGCCCTGTGAGACATGTCTAGATTCTCAAATTTGAGAAAACCATAGGTACTGGTCTGGCCACGAGAAGGCCTCTTAATGTCCACTTCTGTGATGACTCCGAAACGATCAAAAGCCCTTCTCAGATCATTTTCTGTCACAGTGATGTCTAAGTTGCCCAAGAAAAGTGTCCGGTTGGCACGCTGATCATCCTCGGGTGATATCTCGTCCACTTCTCGGAAAGGAGCAGCACCTGCTCCAGCCCCCACCCTTGGCTCAAGACTATAAGCTGGGCGCACTCTGTCATAGAACGGATAGTCTCGTTCTCTTTCCAGCTCTCGGGGCAATGGTGGTGGGGGTGGAGGCGGCAGGCGGCCAAGAGCCAACTGCTGCAACCGGTAGTCTCTGTATCCCAAGGCAGCACCGCCAGGGGAAAGTGATCTCTGACCTCCTCCTCCTGGGGCGTGCCTGTGGCTACCCACAGAGGTTCCGACCACGCTGGACGACGGAGGGTAAGTATCTTTGTCTAACGGGGAGCGGCTGCGGCGCCGGCTCACGTACACGGCTTCTATCTTCAGAGGCCGGTCATAGAGCACCAGGCGGCCTCTGGCATGCTTGGCCGCCCTCGCGTCCTCTGGCCTCCGGAAGTTCACAAAGGCTACCCGCTCATCCCCGCTGCCAGAACCCGAGAGGTGACTGATTTTGACACTTACATCACCGAAGCGTTTGAACTCGTGAAACAGTCCGTCCTCCACCGCTTCGTCGCTCAGCTGGGACCCCAATTCGCTTATCTTCAGGGTCTTGTACTCCACGCCGTCCCCGCCGCCAGGCGCGGAGGAGGCGGCCCCGGAGGAACGTGACTCCCCGCCTCCACCCCGGGAGCTGCTGCGCGACTCGCCCCCGCCTGAGGAATTTTTGGTGCTCGGGGAGCTGTAACTATGCAAGCGGCTACTGGAGCTGCCCCCACCAGTGTCATACTCGCGGCTGCCCCCTCGGCTGCTGGACTTGTCCAGGTGAAGGCTCCGCCGCGACCCGCCGCTGTCCGTCTTCCCGCTGCTGCTCCCATTGCTGCCGCCAGAGCCCCCTAACTTCTTGCTCCGTTCCCCGCGAGAACTGGAGTCCTCGCCACCACGGGAGCGTTTGGGCTTGACCGGCGAGCGCTCCTTGCCTTTCATTGTGGAGGGTCGCCGGAGGTCGTCTCTGCGGAGCTGACTAACCCGCCACCCCGCGCTCGTTTCACACAGCGGACTCGCACGCCGCCATCTTGGACTCCGCCGCGGCAAAGGCTCCCGCCCCGCGGACCTCATTGGTCAATTAATTCACTCTTCAGCCTTCTCATTGGAAAAAGTATTTGTCCGTCTTTACATCTCCCCGCGCTCCGGGAAGGCGCCCGCCTCGACGCTGTTATTGGGTTCCCAACGCCCTAATCGGAGTACCTCATTGGTTATATTCGTTGTCTGTCTTAACGGTTCCTCGCGCCAGGCCGTAGCTCCGCCCCTCGCACTTCATGGTCACCTGACCCAAAGCCTGGAGGCGTTGATTGGACAAAAAGTCTGCCCTGTAACGGTACTTCTCGCACGGCGAAAGCAGCGAGCCCACCTTCTCTTCCCTTTCATTGGCTTGTGACCACGTCCTTTAAACCCCTACTTGGGAAGTCTGGACATCAGTTCTGGCGTTTCTTCTGAGAGCTTGGCTCTCCCCAATCTCGCGAGAGACAAAGAGCTCCCCTCGCTCACTCTCTCGCTCTCTTTCGACCCCAGTCTTCCAACTTCTCCGGCGGCTGGAGGAAGTTTAAATCTGATTGGATGTTGACCAGGAAACTGATAGGGCAAAAGCGCTGTCCATCACTTACTTAAAGGAGCAGGCCCACAAACTGAGGCGTCTGAAGGTGAAAGACTAGAGCACGCGCTTGCTGTGCGACGTCACTTAGCTGTCGCGAGATGGTGACAGTGGGTCCGGCCCGCCTCCCCGCGCTTTCGGCGTTCTCTTAAACATTTGTTAGGTCCTACGGCGTACTTGGCGGCGCTTCGGTCCTTCGAGTCTGGAACTTGCGGGCTCCGCACGGTCCTGTCGGGGCGGGACAATGGGCTCGGTGGTCCCTCCGGCTGTTGGCCCGCGATCCCCTTAGGCAGCTGTCCCGGGAAGTCCAGCCGACACCATCTTAGTTAGCAGCCTGAAAAAGCCCCACCCCCGTGCGCGAGAAAGCGCCTGCCCGGCTGTGTGCAGCTGGCTGGGGCGGTGAGTTCAGGGTTCACTGAGCCTCGGGTCACGCTGACGCCCTGGGCGGTACCGAGTCACTGCCCGCCCGCGGACACAGGAAACGGCGCCGTGGAGACCTGGCCGCTCGCTGTGGCCGCCCGAGGGCTCCCCGTGACCTGTGCTCACAGCCTCCAGGCCTCCTGGCTGGTCCGACCTGCAGGGCCATTGCAGACCTTCCCTGGCGCCTGTTTTCGGTTGTGAATCCCTGCAGGGTTTGCATTTATAAAAGAGCTGTGGAACGTAATATAGCTGTGCTTAGCTTTAATGTGTCATGCTTCTCACCGTTCGGACACCTTACATTTTTTCTGGTTTCTTCTACCTTAACACTCCGATTAATTCATATTGGGATCCAGTAACATGACCACCTTGCTGCTTCCCTGGATCCACCTCCTTGAGTCCTTTAATCGTAATCAACTTCTAAACTCAACTCCCCCGACCCCATCCCTGTACCTTTATCGTGTTGGGTAAATTTGTGTAATACTGGTGATCATGAGAGTACGGGTGGTCTGTATCACTGCCGTTTACCTTCTGGTGAAGGGAAATAGGCTTCATGCAGTCTCCCCAAGAATGTACCTAGGAGAGATTGGGAAGATTTTGGTATTCACGTCTTACAAGATTCCTGAGTAAAGGATGTGTTTTAAAACGGGAAATTTTACAAGGTAACAATAATGCCCCTCCCCCCCAATCCAAACAGAAATCTAAACTTTTAAACCGCTTGAAAATTAGATACAGCAACCTGGCTAGTCCTATTTCAACTATTTTGATTTGTTGGCATGTAATCCTGAAATTGGTGAAATTCGGGCCAAAGTCTCTTGATCACGTCAAAGAGTTTGAAAGAAGCCCAATATAAAAATTATAAACCCCCAAATACTGTAATGCATAGACATACTTGTATTAAAAATAACTGTTGTGGGGCATTGTGAAATAGCTGTAATCCTGTTTTATTAACCTGAGCAATGTAGTGAGATTCTGTCTCAAAACTACTCATACACAAAAGTCTGGAGACACAGCCCAGGACACTTGGGCACCATGTGTGAAGCTCTAGGTTCAAACCCCAGAGTAGCATGAATCTTAAAAGGTCTTATTAATAAAAACAAATCTGGGCTGGGTATTGGGGTGAATGCTGGAAGATCAGAGAAGCAGAACAAGCCACAGGTACCTCACCTTGCCAGTTTCCTCAGCTGATCCTATTTCCTCAGACTGGAAGTCTCTGTGTCCTCATCTGAATGTGTCTCAGCTGAACTGCTGCTAGAAGCCTAAAAACCAGCCAAAAGGCTTCTAGTTTCTGGTCCTCACGCCTTATATATCTTTCTGCCTTTCTGTCATCACTCCCTGGGATTAAAAGCGTGAGTCACCATGCCTGGCTGTTTCCAATGTGGCCTTGAACTCACAGAGATCCGGAGGGATTTCTGCCTCTGGAATGCTAGGATTAAAGACATATGCTACCGCTGCCGATCCTCTGTTTAATATTGTGGCTGTTCTCTTCTCTGACCCCAGATAAGTTTATTAGCATGCACAATATTTTGGGGGAACACAATACCACCAGTACTGGGAAAAAAATGCCCTTTTTTTGTTTTTTTGAGACAGGGTTTCTCTGTGTAGCTTTGTGCCTTTCCTGGAACTCACTCTGTAGCCCAGGTTGGCCTCGAACTCACAGATATCCACCTTGCTCTGCCTCCCAAGTGCTGGGATTAAAGGCATGCGTCGCCGCCGCCGCCGCCGCCACCACCACCCGGCAAAATGCTTTTTAAAAGTCTTATTTTTGCTGGTTAAGGTGGCACATGCCTTTAAGCCCAACACTCGTGAGGTAGAAGCAGGTGAGATCTCTGTGAGTATGAGGCCAGCCTGATCTACAAAGCAAGTTCCAGAACAGCTATGGCTGTTAAACAGAGAAACCCTGTCTTGAAAAACAAAACAAAACAAAAGACTATTTTTTAGCAGGGCATGGTGTACTCATTTAATCCCAGCACTTTGAAAGACAGGAATAGGCAGGTCTCTGAGTTCAAGACCAGTCTGGTTTACATAGTGAGCTCCAGGCCAACCAAGACTACATAATAAGACTCTGTCTTAAACTAGTGTGCGCGCGCACGTGCACTTATGCTAGTGTTCTAATGCCTAGAGAAGCCAAAAGACAGTGACAGGTCCCAGAAGCTGGAGTCACAGAGTTGTTAGTCACAACCTGGGCCCTGGGGGACAAGCTGCAGTCCTCTGTAAGAGCAGGAAGTACTTTTAACTCCCAAGCCACCTCTTCAGGCCTGCAAAGATAATTTTTAAAAGGCTGTTAACATAAAATACCATCAGTCAGAGAAAAATGTGTATAATAAACTACCAATTGTGGTTTTTAAAATTATATGTGTACTGTATACATATGCTTATATTTTTAATTGAAGACCATCCCATGCTCTGAGCACACAAGTCTCAACAAAACTGTAAGATCATGTCAATTGTTTCTCTTTCCGTCTACAATCCTATTCCCATTCTCCCCTGCTCCACTATTTTGTTCCAGGCATACCCGATAAATTTTCTGCCTCCGATGTGGAATCCATCATACCTACAAGAAGTTCTGGTTCTCTTTAGTGGAAAGCAATACTGAAAGATAAAATTTTGGATACTGGGAGATAAAGTATTCATACACATAATCTATAAAAAGCATAAAGTAAAAGCTTTTCATAGGTGTTAATTCATCTCAAGATTCTATGAACACTACAAAAAGGGAATTGACGTTAAGCCTTAGCCTGATTACTTGGTGTAATAGCCAATCCAGAAAGACTGGGAAGTGACTATGTTGATCCTAAATTGAGTAACGGAAATGACTCACTGATCCAAAGGAAAGATAAGGACCAATCGGCGTAGGGTTTGAAGGAGCACCAGAACGGGGAGAATGAACTAAAGGAGATGAAAAGGGACAATGTGTGTGGCAATACTTGAGGAAAGCCAGGCTTGGTGGGCTATCCTTTGGTAGAACTTTTCCCACATCTGATGGTGGTAAGGCGGCTTCCTGAGGGAGCCTTACCTGCCTGGAGCCATGAGGACTGGTAAGTTTAAAGCTAACAGTAAAAGGCCATCGCCAGTAAGAGTCAAAATACAGCCTGTTACATATGTTTGCCCATGACTGAATAGAATAATGACCTATGAAGCACACAATGCTTCTTAAAAGTATGATCTTTTTATTCTGCTCATATTTGACTTTAAACAGAAGTTCACTGAAATAGAAAGCAGTCATTTAGAAGCCAGGCTGTGATTAACTGATTTATTTCATTTTCATGTCCTTTGTGTTCTTTGAAGCATGGAGCTATTTAAGTGAGGTTTTAGCACCCTGTATTTACACTGAAGGGGTTAAGCTCTCCTACTTTCACAACTGAATTTAGGTTCCACTCCTCTGAGAAGGACAAACAGGTGTCGTTTCCAGCAAAGACCAATGAATTTACAAAGCCCTCACATTCAGGGTCAAGAGAGAGAACAAACACACAGGGCCAGAGTCAGCCGCACAGTATCTCAAGGACAAACCCAGCACCCCCTTCTGAGTCACGTCCACGCTTGTGCAGATGTGTCCAAAAATGATAAGACTAAACCTCAGCCAATTAGAAATATACTAATGTAACTGCTACCTGCTTAACCAATTATGTTGTTCACCCTGAAACGCCCCTTAGCTGTGCTTAAAAGGAGCCTGTGCGTCCCCCTCGGGGTCATTGCCATTTTGTACAGGTGAATGATCCCACATGCGTGCTGGTCTAATAAAAGCTCTTTGTTCTTGCATACTGTTTGAGTCTGGGCTCTTCCTTCAGTGTTTCCTCAGACTCTACAGCGCATGTGTTTTGCAGGGAGCTGAGAAAAGATAAAAATGACCCATGGTTTAAAGGGCAAGAACTTGGACTCTTCTTTGGGTGTTGTCAGTGGAGTTGTTGAGAGGCAATCCAAGCTTTCCTCTTGTCTTCCAAGTGATCAGTGACCAGATCCATGAGGGCTACTGCCCTGGATGAGGAGATTCTTCCAATATTTATGACAGAGTTATGCGGGCAACAAATTTCCCTAGCACTATAGCAGTGTATCGGTCAATCTGTTCTTTTATTGCTCTACCAAAACCCAAGAAATAATGTTGAGGAAAAGCTGTCATCATCCATTTCTGCCTCAGTGTTGGCTCATTGGAGTTATACTACTCAATGCCTTAAGGAAAAGTTCCTACTGCTTTTCTCTACAAAGTGTTTTTTTTCCACCTCCTTTAAAATCAGTTTTAAACATGAAAGGAAAAAGCAAAAGTTTATGCACAACTTAAAAAATATCAATATAATTTCAATGTTCTTTCCATCTTTGTTCTTCCTAGGTTTTGTTGTTTGTATATCCTCAATGCACACACAATTATGATTGCAATATGAACTTACCTTAGAAGTTGAGAGCTGTGTTAATTTCCTAGGATGTGCAAACAGAACTAAAGCTGAAGACTGAACATTTTTCCCTTCCATAATAGTAGATTAAAAATTTCTGTCTCGCCGGGCGGTGGTGGCACACGCCTTTAATCCCAGCACTCGGGAGGCAGAGGCAGGCGGATCTCTGTGAGTTCGAGGCCAGCCTGGTCTACAAAGTGAGTTCCAGGAAAGGCACAAAACTTCACAGAGAAACCCTGTCTTGAAAACCAAAAAAAAAAAAAAAAAAAAATTTCTGTCTCATCTCCTAAAGTAAAATGAGTGGTCTCTTGACAGTGAGGTTTGCTTTATTTGACACATGAAAAATACATATTTTACCTATGAGCAATCAATCATGTTGAGACCTAGTTTGCATTATATAATGGTGAACTTACTTGTGGTTTGTGGGGAGTTTTAAAGACAGATTTCTATATGGGAGGAGGCTGAGGCAGAAGGATTACAAGTTTGAGGCCAGCCTAGGTTTGTGAGTTCCAAGTCAGGGTGGGCTACAAAGAAAGATCTTGTCTCAAAATACATATGTAATTCAAAGCATAAAGTTCACCCACTTGAAGTATACAATTTAGTGAGTCCTAGTATATTTATAGAGCTTTGCATGAGTATTCTCTTACTATTGTTATAAAAATAAAAACAACATTCTGTAACTTCTTCATGACTAAGCCCTACATAATTGTATCCTTTATTTATATACCTTATAAGGTAGTGATGAAGTGCATAAACCAACCAGTTTAGATAAATGTCAGCTGTGCTGTGGGGCTTGGAAGGGAGTTACTACTAACCCCTTCTGGACTTTGGTTTTATTATCTATCAAATAGGAATTATCAAGGAGTCTTCTCATTGAGATTAAATGGGTTAGAAGAGTGGTTCTCAACCTTCCTAATGCTGTGACCCTTTGACAGAGTTCCTCATGTTGTGGTGACCCCCCAACCATAAAATTATTTTTATTGCTACTTCATAACTGTAATTTTGCTACTGTTTTGAATTGTAATGTAAATATCTGATATGCAACCCCCTGTGAAAGTGGTGTGCAACCCCCAGAGGGGTCATGACCCACAAGTTGAGAATCACTGGGTTAAACCATATAAAGAGTTTAGAGACAGCATTTGCCACATGGTAAGTGCTATATGAATGTGTTGTGTGATACTGTTACTAGGAGACATGAAAAAAATGTCTACTTATTTCAGATAGGGAACCAGTTACAAACCAAAGTACAGATACCACCCAAGTCCAGTTTGGTGAATCAGCAAGTTGTATTGGTGTTCCTTACAGAAATATGGGTAAGGATTAACTATAGGAGCAGAACTGACTCAAAGATAGC